AGGGAGGGAGGGAGGGAGGGAGGGAGGGAAGAAGCAAGGGAGGGGAGGAAGGGAGGAAGGAAGGAAGGGAGGGAGGGAGAAAGAAAGGAAGGAAGGAAGGAAGGAAGGAAGGAAGGAAGGAAGGAAGGAAGGAAGGAAGGTAGGTCTGATTTTAAGCCTTCTTTTGGAGAAGACACCCGTCTCCTCTACTTGAAGTGTGCTCACCTCTTCCCCCTCACATCTGTACAGCTGTAGTTCCCTCTCTGGCTTCCTGTGGTTAAATAGCCCGATGGTTTCTCTTCTCACTATAAAATCAGGCGCAATTTTACACCTTTTACACAAGTTGCTGCTTCCCCAGACCAACACATCGTTTACCAAGGATCAAAGCCATTCTTAGGAAGGTTCCTTTGGCAACGTTTCTTTAATGCATGGACCTTGTTCTCAAATGCTGACTTTAAAAAAAAATATACAAAAAACAAACATAGAGCTTTTAAGATTTTAAAAATGTATATGAATATAGCGCCCGCACTATGGGACGGTACACGAGCCAGGAACTGGGCCGGAGACTTAAAAACACACGCACACACAGACAGACAGAAATATGGGATATGGTCATCCTTGATACAAGAGTGCCAAGAATGCCCACTTTATTGTGCTCAGGGGCAGCTTACATAGAGCTCTGGCCACGCTCCTGCTCAGAGCAGCTGCAGGCTCCTCAGAGCAGAGAAAAACAGGTTGTTGACAAGAAATTCAGGGTCTGGGGGTCCACAGCCCCCAACATATGAATGCACATAGGTATACATGCACTGTGCATGCCTGGCGCCCCTAGAGACCGGAAGATGCCAGACCCTTAGAACTGCAGTGACAGATGGTTGTGAGCTGCCGTGTGGGTGCTGGGACTGAACCCAGGTCCTCTGCAGGATCAGCAATGGCAAAGCAACATGCAAATCTGAGGTGACACGGCTGGATTACAGCACCAGACTAAACGCTCACACCAAGCAGGAGGGGGTGGTCTCACCTCCTTCTGCCCCTTGAGTCTCCTGGGAAAGAGGAAGTGTGATCAGAGCACACTTCATATAATACAATAAGAACACTGTGAGACAGGATTAATTGCCCACAATAAGCCAATGAGGGAAAAGACAAAAGGCCTTCTCATCGCTCCCTTATACTTGCTTTTAAAAGCACACAAAGTTGATAGGGTTGTAATAAAACTAATAAACTCCTAAGTCCTTTTGGTCTTAGATTTATGGATGTGTATACACGTTCTCTTATGTATGCCTTGTGTGTGTAGGCGCCAACAGAGGCCAGAGGGCGTTAGATCCCCTAGGGCTGGAGCCAGAGGCAAGGTCATTGTGAGCCACTTGCCAAGGAGAATCCACTGGGTTCTTTGGAAGAGCAGCAAGTGCTCTCAACCTAGGATTCATTTCTTTAGTCCCCTAAAGCTTTCTGACCGTGTAAATTAATACAATGTCTATGGAATATTAGTTTAGTAAGAAAAAAAAAATAAAAGCTACGGAAAAAAGCCAGTGTCTTACCATAAAACATTCTTAACTTCTGACCTTAGGGGAGTAAACCAAAAGAAAAACTGCATGTATAAGAATACATAACATATAAAATGGAAATATTATCTTTAACTGGATAAAAGAAACAAATGTAGTACAAGAGATCAATGCCAAGGCCTCACACGTGCCAGGCCTTACGTCCCACTGAGTTGTTTCCCTAGAAAATGTGGGTGTCGCGTCAAGATGATTAAACAGGCCGAAGAAGACTGATTAAATAAATTCAGACATGCCAACCCAGGGGAGTCATTTCCAATCATTGCCTTCTATAATATGAATTCATATTTGATCAAATGTCCCTAGATCACCATGACTATTGAGTCACAGACACACACCTATGGCAGAGACAAAGAGGAAGTGGAAGGTACCAGCTGCTACCCTAGAAGCTACTGAACTGTGGATTATATTTCTTCTGAACATTTTCTTCTGGCTAGTCATGGTATTATCATATACCTGGGGTCCCAGCTACACCAGAGAGTACAGCACAAGTGTAGGGTAGCTGTCCAGCCCCTGAAGGACCCAAGTTCAAGCCCAGCACAAAAACAGAACAAAGAAAACAACCCCTTCGCAGGTATGGAACGGGTTTGGTAGAACCACCGGTAAAGACACAAACCATGAAATGCTAAGACGCAGGGCATGCCCTGTGGCTGCCTATGAAACATGACTTTTCCTCTCATCTTCCTACATCAGGAGGGTTTCACAATGGCTCCACTCTTGCTTCTGGAGACGGCTGCCCAGTCTGTCTTCAAGGGCCTCTGAGAACCTAAAGCTATAGAACCAGCAAGCCAGACTCCATTTTAACGCTGTGCCTCCCCAGCTGTTGAGCCGCAAGGGCCCGAAGGATCAAATGTAAATAAAAGTACAAGAAGTAGACGCTGCTGCCAGAAGCTGAGATTCCCCAGCCTAGGCCAGCTGTCATCACAAGAGGCAATGCCAAAAGCAACAACGGAGCTGTAGGGAGACGGTGCTAAAGACACCCCTGCCCTGCAACAGTTTTAACTATGTGTGTATTATTTTCTCCTCACCTTACCCCACCCCGTCCTTCCTATTGTACTCAGAAACCAGCCGTTTGCAGAGAGACACTAAGCCCCAGAGCTTGGTGCACAGGAAAGAGCTTGAGGGGGGCCAAACGGTAAGCCACTGCCGGTCACCTTTGAGGGATGGAGGGGCTGTTCTTTGAGGTACCAAGAAATGAGATAGTCTCAACCCTGTGTGTGTGTGTGTGTCTGTGTGTGTCTGTGTGTGTTGTGAGTGCATGCACGTGAGCACATTGGAAGGAGGAACTACAAATCAAACACAGCTTCCAGCCTCTAAAGGGAAGTTACAAGAGCTCCTTCAATAAGAAATACGGTCTTGTGGCAAGTACTGGCGATCCAGGTTTCAAGCTGAGCTCCGTAACTCTCTCCCAGCTTCAGAAAGCCCCGCTCGCTCTTCAAACAGCAGCCCTAAGGCCTGATACACTCTATGAGCAAGAGTCTCCAGAGAGCCCGCCCTGCTCTGGGCAGCACTGGTTTCCAGCAGGCCGCAATACCTTTTGGAACCACAGTGGTACGGGGGCAGCAGAGGTCTCCTCAGGCAGGAACCTTCACCCTCTTTGCAAGCCACTTACCTTCATAAGAGGCAACGGGAGCTCTTCTGTCACAAGCATTAATCCAGGAATTTCCTGGGGGGAGGAGATAAGGCAACAAACATATCAAACACCACACGCTTTCCTATGGGGGGGGCATACACAACATATCAACCATCCCACGCTCTTCCTATGAGAGGCCACACACACAACATATCAACCACCCCACCCTCCGGCCTCCTCAGGAAGTGCCTTCTGCACAGACAGGCGCTAAGAACAGCCAGCTTCCTGTGTGATAACCTTTACTTTAAATAACTTCCCAGTGTAAAAATAACAGGACACACTGTCATCGCTTGCCTTGGAGAAGGAAAAGTGCTTTAAATAATAGTGGAGGGAGGAAAGATTGTTGGGAGGAAATGCAGAACAAATACTACGTTTTAACACATTTCTACCTAACAAATGAGGCAAAATACGTTTGAACTGTTAAATTCATAGTTAGACGAAACCATCACATCCTCCCTGTCCTCCCCCTTTCACTTATCTGTAGCGCTAGCTGGTCTTTTCCTCTCTAGAGGGTACCAAAATCGGTGGGGTTCTCACACACTGAGGTCCACCATGATCACAGGACAGGAGCGCCCCATAAAGACTTTTCGCACAGGCCAGCAGCTGAGCTAAGACATGCTCAGTTCATGCCAGGAAAGCCCAGCACGGCATTCTGCTAACTGTGAACACTGGGTCAACCTTAATGAGCTAGGGGTTGTTGAATGTCTAATCCCAGGCGAGGGACAGAGAGGCTAGAGGATCAGGAGTTCAAGGCCATCCTCAGCTCCTTGGTAAGTTTGAGGCCAGCCTTGGCTAAATGAAATCCTGTACATTAAACAGTGGGGGGCGGATTTAAAAGGATAAAACTTCCCAAATTGTCCTGACCTCATGGATACTATGGAAAATGTATCTGTATGTTAACTATGTAGCCTGCCTTTCTGCCAGTTCAGATTTCCTTCCAGATGTAGCTGACACTGGAAAACAGCCTAGGATTGCTTTGTAAAAATGTCCTATTGGAGTCTGAGTGACTGGATCTTACGGACACACCACTCCTACGGAAGGACGGTCATCTGTGAGGCGGGGGTGAACTTTCAGAACATCTGAGCCCTTGAGTTCCCCACCAGAGCTCAGAACGTCTGCGTTAAAAATCACATGAACTTCATCCATCACCGCTCAGCCACACAGGCACCAAAACGGTGCTGCGTCTGTAGTGACTGTGGTGGTTGATGCTGGCTCTCAGCTGGGCAGCATCTAAGATGACCAAAGGCAGGCCTCTGGATACAGCTGTGAGGAATTATCTAAATTAGGGGGGTTGGGGTGGGTCACCCTTCCTTGTAAGTCCTGAGGGTAAATCCAATGGGGCAGGAGTATTCGATCTTCTCTAACTCTCGGCTGTGGGGTGGTATGACCAGCTGCTGCCAGCATGCTTTCTCCACCATGAAGGACTGTATCCCCCAAACTGAAGGACTGTATCCCCCAAACTGAAGGACTGTATCCCCCAAACTGAAGGACTGTATCCCCCAAACTGAAGGACTTTATCCCCCAAACTGAAGGACTGTGTCCCTAAAACTGAAGGATTGTATTCCCTAAAACTGAAAGATTGTATCCGCTAAAACTGAAGGACTGTATCCCCTAAAACTGGAGGACTGTAACCCCTAAAATTGAAGGATCATACCCCCCAAACTGGAGGGAAAATCCTGCTCCCTTAAGTCAGTTGCTTCTTGTGGCATTATTTTGTTATAGTGACAATAAAAGCAACCTATGTAAGTCTAAATAACATTTTAAAAGGCATAATTATAACATTTTAAAATAACTATAATTACAACATGCTTTAGAATTAGCAATATGCAAGAACATTCTAATTTCTAGTATTTTACTTAACTATATAGAAGTCCATTAAAATGTATAGACTTTGGATCTGGTTAAATTGAGTGAGTGGGTTTTTTTTGTTTGTTTCTTTTTTCCAAATTCTTTTTTATAATAGTGCTCTTATAATAGTGTTTATAATATTTTTTTAAAATCCAGTTGTTAGTAGGTATGGTATTGTACATTTTTAGTCTCAGTGAGAGGCTCCTAGACTAGCCTGAGCTACATGATGAATTCTTTCTTTCAAGTTAAAAAAAAAAATCCAAGTCAATCTTTCAGCCCAGATATGTGAACTTGCTATTTCCTACTGCGGCAAGTTTTAAAGTTGTACCATCAGGGATGATTACAGACTAGGGAAGGGAAGAGTAAAGCTTACATCATTGCTAAAGATGAATATAAATGCATAGAGCTTTGGGATTAAAGGAGGCCTTTTAAGGTAACTTATTCTAACCACAAGACGTTTTAAAGCAACTTGGTAAACCCCAAGATAAGTCTGGTGTGTAGAGGTTATAACCGTGGGTTTTTCTGCATTTTCTTGTGGGGCACTCAGATGTTACTGCGTGTGTGTTCACCAAGTACCCTGTGCTGCAGAGAGCCCAGAGAAATGAACAAATTTCTGCTGCCCTTTGGGATGGTGGCTTTGCGGAACCCCCAGCTCGAACACAGCCCAGGGACCACTGGTTCGGACCCTGCCTCTCTACTCTTCAGACAAAAAGTCGTGGTTGAGAAGCACAGAGCACTGAGCTGTGCATTTCCTGACCCAGTGGTGTAACCTGCAGACTTCCTGCCGCATGACCACAGAGTCAGCCTAGGCACTCACAAGTCATCTAAAGGAAAAACAACCGCGTGGGTGCCCATTAAAGGAGAAGCCCAGGTCTTTCCTCTTACGATTTTACACCGAAGCAAAGGAATCTACTAACTATAGCCCAAAAGACAAGCAGAGAAGGGCCTTCAGGTGGAAGAACAAAGCAAAACAGAACAAAACAAACAGCCTACTATTGTGAGCATCAAACATTTAGAGATGACTCGAGCATCACTGTACGATATGGTGGCGCATGCACTTGCGGGGACAGGCAGGAGGATCAGAAATTTAAAGGTGTCCTCCGCTCCACAGGCCTTGAGGCAGGCCAGGCTGGGCCACACGAGTCCATGTCTCAAGACAAAGAGAGAGAGAGAGAGAGAGAGAGAGAGAGAGAGAGAGAGAGAGAGAGAGAGAGGAAAAAATCAAATGCATTTATATATTTCTTTTTTTTTCCTTTAGATAGGGTATCACTTCTACATAGCCAAGGCCTACCTCTAACTCAGGATCTTCCCGCCTAGCTCTCACGAGTGTAGAATTACATGCATGCACTACACAGTAGGCTATTAATGCCTCTGCTGACTATACCGCTACATAGACAAAACACAAAATGAAAAATGTCACAATTTATCCTAGTACATAGTTCCCTAAATTAAATTTATTGTTCTAAATTCCCTTTCCATACAACTCCTGCTTCAGGACCAAGCACGGAGCTGAGAGGGGCCTGGGAGAAGCGCTGGCCGCACCACACCGGGGCACCAGCCAGGCCCCTGCCTGGTGCATTGCCTCCTGCTGTAAAGAAGCCCAGTCTGACAGGAAGAAGGGCAGGGGAGGAAGCAAGCTGAAGACTCCTGACTGACTCAGCTGGAAGCTTTTAGCACCTCAGTTTCTTTATAAATCCTTACAAAAACAGGGAACGGAGTCATAAAAGTCACAGTCTGCCGAGTATGACCACAGCGGTCTAACCACTCCTCGTTCATAAAAACCGACTGAATACTTTAGTCAACACAGGAGTAAAAATGTCATTTTATAAAATACGACCACTGAGGCAGTTGAAAGAGGGACACAGACACCTTGTGTCTGCTCCATCAAGTCTATCAAACACTCCTGGCAATGGCAGAGGTTTGCTGCTTTTCAGAATATGCGCGGACATATGCATGCATGTATGTATGCATGTATAGCGGACAGGATTTTACTATATGGAATATATCATGTACCTATGGACAAAACCATACATACATATACATATAGGCTATGTATATGTATACATATGTGGTAAAATTTTTCACATTTGGCATCGTATTGACCCTCAAAATGTTCTAGATTTTGCAACGTTTAGATTTTAGATTTTCTGATTAGGGACGTTTATACATTCTGTCAGGAAACTCCAACTCAGTTTTTTTATCAGTCAAGACAGAAGTGAACTCATAGCACTGGTTTCCATAACGGGAATTGTCTGCCTCTGGCCCACAGTGCTGAGGCCGCTGGGACTCCGTTAACTTACTGTGTTCCACGTCAGCACAGAGGAGTAAGGTAGAAGCCTGTCCACGCCGGCCAGATCCGGATACATGCTCCAGTAGGAAGAAGCTGAGTCGGTTTTTAAAAGACACATAACGTGATAAGAACAGAGAAATCAACGTTGTAATTAAACCAAATCAAGTAAGCCAATAAGTTTTCATGGCCTCGCTATGCCTCTGGGAGTAACCACCACGATTTTATCTACAACTTAAAATGTTCAGGTTCTCTGTTTTACAATGAGGATATTTTTAGAAATCCCTTTGATACTGCTTCAACCCGGATAACGCTATACCACTTACAATATAGCCGACGAACATAAAACTAGACTCGGAAAGATGCATTTGACTGAAAATTTTGGTAATGAGGTTAAAGAATCAAAATCTGATCTTCTATCTCTCTTATCAGTCTCTGAGAACCACAGTTTCTTGCAAAAACCACAAGAGGATGAAATTTAATTAGCCACTGATGGCAATCAAGTTAAAAAAACAAAACTGATGCTCCCAAGAAGCCTAGACAGAGGCATTCGGTATCAGTTTCCTGATCTCCCTCAAACAAAAGGGCCAAACACAGCTCACCGCGCAACATCAGCAACACTTACTGATTAGAAATTCCTGGATGAGGTCAAATGAATGGCAGGCAGAGACGCGTTCACAAATCCACTGAATAATCTTTAAAAAGAAAGACCACAGAGCCCTGTTGGCTTTTAAATCTGCACTCCGTCCCACCAAAGCAATATAAAAACACATAATAAAAAAATACATATATGAATGAACCTTTAAATTCCACATCTATTTTGAAATGACTTGATAAATATACCAGCTTCCAGCTTAAAAGCCAAGATAGCCCTGGCTGAGCATGTCAGTATTGTAAATATTGCTTTTAACATATCCTTTTAACAGAGGCCTCTGGGTAGGCTCCAGATAAACTTTCTCCAATCCATTGTGTGTTTTGTTTTAAGAATTGATGGTGTTATAAAAAGTGCCCATCAAGAAAGCTCCTGGGCACAGGTGGCAATGCACAGCAAAACCACTGGGTGTAAGTTCCCTGCAGCTACTACTGTGAGCATTGTCACAATTTCCCACGAGGAGCCTGTTCTTCCCTTTCAGCCGACACCTCTAACCCCTACATCAGCAGCTCTCCCAGTTTCTGTCCCTACATCCAGCTGCTGGAGGAAGGGAACTCTCCTCTCCTGCCCGACAGGTACGGCGCGCCCAGCCGCGGCTCCTTCGCAACAGGACGCTTTATTCTAAATCTACTGTGCCCGCTGTTCTTATTTTTACATAGGTAATTTAATAAAAATTTCTATAAATGAGTGAAATGCAGATACAAAAAGAGTATTGTTGCATCAATAAAAGTTGTATATCATGGGAAGGCTCAAAAGCATGTTTCTCAAACATAAGAAGACAAGTTGTAGATTCTAAAACACCAAATGAGTAGATGCAGAGGAAGCAATGTAGAGGAAGCAACGGTTAAAATTGGGTAGACGCACGCCTGCACTTGGGAAAGGCCTCTAAGTCATTTCATTGATCGTCTTTGAAATAAATTTTTAGAATTTTTTTTTTGAGGAGATGGCTCGGTGGCTAAACTGGCTGCCACATAAGCATGGGATCTGGTTTCTAGAACCCACATAAAAACGGGGGTGCAGCGCATGTCTACCCCAGGGCTGGGGCAGGTCCACGAGAATCCAGCCTGCAGAAAAGAGAAGCTCCAGGTTTAGAGAGACTCTGTCTCAGGAATGGATGTGGAGAATGGCTGAAAACACATACAGTGTGGCTTCTGGCCTTCCACACACATGCACATAGGTGTGCACGTACACACGTGTGTGTATACACACAAAACACGTGAAGATGCTTCCACATACACGAGTCTTTAGGAAGGACCAGAAAATCAGACACGGCATGTTAGGACTGGAGAAAATAGCTGATGTTTAGTTAGCCAATTCACAAAGAACAGGCATTGGTCTGCACCAAAGGTAAGCAGATGCATGTGTATTTTTATGGGTTTTGTTTGTTTGTTTGTTTTAAATATCCTTTTTTCAGCTAAGCAGTCAGCCTCTGACAGCATCCACCACTGATTGACAGCAGGGTTTTGCTGACCTTACAGAACAGCTTCAAAGAGTAGATAACCAAATACGTGAGGGCGCTTCAAATGCAGCAGTGTACAAGACAGACCAAGCTGCTTTATTAAAAATTAATAAATATTTGCCACAGAGATTAGACCTTTGGTGTTCTTTTGTTTGTTCCAAGAAGGCCGTGACAGGAATGTATCCTACAGTCCACGATGACATCAAACTTATTATGTAGCCCAGGCTGACCTTGAACTCACAGCAATGCTCCTGTCTCAGCACTAGGGATTGCAGGTGTGAGGCACTACATCCGGCTTGCTTGGCCCTCTTGGTAACGTATTGTTCCAAACACAGACACGGACGGAAAAGCAGGTAGCCTGAGAGACTCACTGTTTGCTGTGTGTCTTTGGAGGGAGCCGGGTTTACAGTAGAGAAAAGCCAGCTGAGGGCTGGGTTAGGGGCTCACACCTGACATCCCAGCACTTGGGAGACCGATAAGAACTTCTGCAAATGTGGAGCCAGCTTGGGCCACAGAGTGGGTACCAGACTGCCCCGGGCTACAGAGCAAAACCTCACCTCAGAAAAGCAGGCAAAGGAAGAAAGAAAAGAGAGTAAGTTTTGTCCTTTATCTTCAAGACAAATTCACACCTGTGAATTCTGAAACCAGAGATGGTACCAAGCCTTAGCAACACTGACAGGCATTATTTATTTACTCATTAAGTCAAGAACTTTCAAGTTCTCATTGAAGGGAAACACTATATGGCGGTCCTTTGGCATATCTACACGCCATGGCCATTATTAGGGAAAATATGAGTAAGGGAACACAGGCACCATAATTCTAGGAGAGTGCGCCAGTAACCAAGACAACCCTTACACGATGAACAGGCAGGTAGCAAATGCAACCCGAATACACTGGGCACAGCGACAATTCACAATTCCAGAGCCGGTGGAGCAGGACGGCACAGGGTCTCATCCCCTTACCTTGAAGAGCACACCACGGAAAACATGAAAATTGCTTCTTTAGGGGATTTCCCATTGATTAAGTCCGAGTTGATGTAAGTTAACGGAAGTCATGGACCGTGAAATGACGGATGAAGGGAACAATTGCACTCAGCAACCTGATAGGCGCACCTTCCCAGCCCGATAGATGCACCTTCCCAGCCCTTGGTCTGGCAGAGAACCACCAGAAACACAGCACCAAGGAGGAGCACGTCCAAGGAAAGACACTGCTACTGAGCAAACACAACTGCTGACCATCTTGAAGCAGCAAGTAAGCACATTTAGTGTGGTCCGCCGCCCGTGCTAGCGTCTCACCTGGTCGTCCTGGAAACCTGGGTCTTGTGCACAGGAGAGCACGCAGTGCAAAGCGGCCATCTTCTCGCAGTCTAGGTGGGCGGAGTTCCATAGGAACCACATCAAGAACGACTGGTCCAGGGCTGCTCTGTAGAGCTTGCCAGAGGAGCAGTCCAGAACCAGGGACCCCGGCAGAACCCGCAAGGGACCAGGAGGTAGCACGGCAGCCATTTCGCTGTTTCCTAGCAACATGAACAACCAAAGTAGGTCATGGAATAAGAGACCCTCTCTGACCCAGACTTCTGTTGAAGTCAGAACAGCCCTGAGGAGACCGCGGGAGATAGCATACCTGTCAGAAACAGACTGTGGCAGGTGAAGTCTGGGTGCTGAACGTTAAGTAAGTGGAGGAAATGACCAGGGAAATAAACAGCCACGAGGCAGCCTACAGGAAAGAGAGACCGGAGTCATCCACCTGTGAAAGTCTATCTAGGTGCAGATAAACCCGGGACCCCGCTTTACTCTGAACGCAGCAGCAAAACGGGACTTATCATCTATTTATTATTATTTATTTGTTTATTACCAGTAGCAAATGATCGGATTGACACAAGTATCATCGCCTGAGTAGGCAGATCTGACTGACTTGGTGTGTCTCTTTGTATGCTAACTCTTGGTTGTATTGTTCAGGCCTATAGTTTTGTTTCAGAGTCAACCATAGCTTTCTGTGAATTTAAGTGAACTGGGAAGGAATTAGAGTAAAAATATCAAGCAATATGCTTGACTCTTTAACGTGGTGTGCTGGGAACAGCTTGTGATGGGATTGTCTTCATCGTCTGACAGCTTGAAGAAGCTGTGAAATGTACTGTCTCGCTCACCATCATCATTTCGTTTAGGAAATTTTGGGATTGGTATTTATCGAGAGCGCCTCTCTGGGACCCTTGGCACTCTGTGCAGCAGCCTTTGGCTTTCCTGTATACCTAGCTCCTACCTAGAGTTGGCCCCTTCCCAATCCCTATACCACAGATCTTTGCACAATCAGAACATGTGTACCTAAACTGACACTCAGTATAAAAACAGGCTCCTAGGGTCTCAGAAACACAGAGTAGTGAATTTCATAAAAGAAACTACCGTGTTCTGTCAGCTAGTTGGTCTCCCTCCTCTATGGGGTACGAGCTAATCTCTTCTGTGGAAGTACCCATAGGAAGGGAAGGGTGGAGGGATATAAAACTCCAACCAATTAAAGTATCCTTTCAGAAGACAGGAACAAAGTAACAGTAAAGAATTGCAAAACACTTAACATTGTGGCAATCCTACTGTAGCAAATGAGAGAAACTGTTTAGAAGGACCTGCTAGAAAGGGGATCCAGCCATCTGTGTTAGCTCTACACATGACTGCTTAGCCGGTGTGTCATGGCGGTGCTATGTCCCAGGCAAGAGGACATTTGAAAATACAGTAAGGTGCAGTAGAATCACACAATCATTGGGATAAGGTGTGAGATTCCTACTAACATTGCTTAGTGGGCTCTAGGTGTTTTCCATTCCTCCGTGTGCAGGACAATCTGCCATAAAACGTTAGTGCTTCACCCAAAATGTCTGTAGCTACCTGACGGGGCTAATGATGGCTCTTGCTTGTGCATTGATCAGTAGAGCCAGTAACTGTGTCCATTATAACACTTTTACCACAGTTTTTTATTTGTCTGGGGGTTTTCATATTGAGAACAACTTGCAGGAGTCTTCCATCCTGGGATTGAACTTGGGTCAAGATCAAGAGCCCTTGCGCATCAGGCTATCCTACCTGCCCGAGATCAACTTTCTGATGAACCGCAGCTGGTGCACACGTGATTGGGACCCTGGGATGAGGAAATAATCCTGGATTACCCCAGCAACTCGGTGTGATCAAAATGTTGTTCAGAGGAGGGAGAGAGGAGTTTGCTTGCCGAAAGGGACCGCACAGCTCCAAAAAAAAGGGAGAGAAACTAGATGCCGGACGAGGAGGATGTGATTTTCTCCTCAGACTCTGTGGAAGGAGCCAGTCCTGCCCATTACCTGACTTTCGTTTCTCAGCGCACCTTTCCGATTTCTGAACTCCAGCCTGGGAACAGGTTTGTGCTGCTTAACCTCGGTGATGATAGACTATTACCTGGGAGTTTAAGCTAAAATAGTCTTTCCCCACAAGTTGCTTTCGGTCATGTTTATCACAGCAAGAGAAAAGCAAACCAGGATACCCACCGAGGTTGAGGAAAGTCATGCCCTCTGTCGCGTGTGAGCCAGCACTCCCAGGAGCGGCAGTGAAGGTCTTTCTGTATCCTGCAAATGAAGAGCGAGAAGCCAGAGAGTTAAACAAGGCTCGTATTGGCCTCACACTGTGTAACAGTCTCAACCTTTAGTAACCAGACAGGCAAGCGCCTGCTGGCTTCTAGAAGTCATGCATGGTACCTCACTCTCCAAATGCACTAATGTGGACCATGTGAGGGCAGTCACAGTAGAGCAGATGTCCCAGCCCAGGCAGAAACCCAGGCTTGTGTAGGGAGGGGAGGGTCCATGGGGTCTACTCGGTGATCTAAGATGGAGGTCGTTTCGGCTCATTCCTACATGCTACAGTTTTTACCAACCTTTTAAGGGTTCTGCAGGTCACAGACCTAGCTATAAGGGGATTAAGCTGCCTATAAAACTGTTGGTCTTCACTCTACTCTTCTGACTCAGTGTTTGTGCTGGCTGGAATCATATCAATTATTAGAAACACACAAAAAATGTCTTGCACAAGCTTCCGCTGCTTAAGAATATGTCTACACTGAGTACTGAAGTTACCTTAGCTGTTCCATTAAAAAAAAAAAAACATAAATGTCTCTGCCTTGATTTCTAACACCCTATAACATCAGGCACTACTGTGGGATTCTAAACTTCTTTGTGGCTTGGCATAAAAGACATTGAGGTCTGGAATGGAAATTCCATCTTTAAAAAAAATTCAGCCACACTCACAACAAATACTCTACAAATATATAAAAATAATTGGGGGGGGGGGGGAGCAGGGTCTCTCTCTGTAGTCCTGACTGGCTTGGAACTTGCTGTATAGACTAAGCTAACCTCAAACTCAGATCCTCTGCTTCTGTCTCCTGAGCGCTGAAGTTAAAGGTGTGCGCCACTGTCTAGCACAACTGTAGATTTGTAAGGAATTAAACAAAGGAGCAAAAGTCCTCCTAGGCATGGTTCACACTGAAACTATCGCCGAGCGTGCTGTGAGCTCAGAGGCAGCAGAGGCGGACACCTCATCCTGCTCCCCAGAATGGTGCATGCCAGCATCACGGGCCACACACATGTGAAATGAGTTTGGTGGCATAGCATATTCTGGAGCGTCAGCCTGTTTACAATTGAGATCAAAGAAGATTTTAACTAAATTCCTATGTAACTATGGCAAACCAATACACTTTGGCAAGTGCACCCATTAGAAATGGTTTGTAGTTTAGAACAAGCCACACGCTGGTATAAAAATACGTAGTGCAAAAGTCACCCATCTTACTAGTTACTGCTAATAAAATTTTTCATAAAACATAACCATACAGTTAATCATAAAGTAAACTGATAAAACTGTTTGCTAAGTGTTAACGTGTTTGCCATTTATCTAATTTGTTACTGTTTGGGAAAAGCGAAAGGTAAAAGTCGAAGAGACCAAACTAGAAAGTACCTTTATGAAGATAAAACACCGAGTATGTGACTTCTTCCCCAGAGTCAAACTTTGGGCTGTAACACACACACAAACCCCCTAGGAAAAAAGAAAGTATTTAATATCATTTAAACCATCTGCACAATAAATTTCACGGGCCGTTATTCACCTGCTTCTGTTTCTTCAGCTGTCCCTTCCCATCTTACTTCATCCGTCATCCCAGACTCACAAGGTCGTAGTAAAAGTTGCTATGACATCTGAAATCAGCATTTGTCATCCGGCTGTAGGCTGTGCACTGGGCAGGCTGGGGAAGGTGGGAAGCAAACAGACACCCATTCCTCTACACAGGGAGCTGCAGGAGTCCGGAAGGGGCCCCACCTTCCTGAAACTCTGATGAATGTGCACACACTGTCTGTCATTCTACCTGGCTGGCCCCTCCCACCACCTCTCAGAGCTCCGGACTCCAGCTATCCAAACTGTGGTTTTTAATAGAAGACATCGGTATTTGTAAGCAAGATTGACATGCAAATTATGGACCTTTCCTATGAGGAATGAGAGTAAACACAATCTGTGAGACCATACTCATTGATGTTGGGTGCCTGGCGGCTTTGGCCCACGTTGAGGGTGAACCCTAGCACCCACGTCAAGGGTGAACACCTAGCGTGGCATTTCCACCGTCACTAGCCTCCCCATCTCTCTCAGTCTGTAAAACGCTATAATATTTCTAGTAGCTGTTGCTACTGTCAGTTACCTACAAACAAAGACATGATGCTCAAACTGATCCGGTTGAGAATCCCTCATGAAAAATGCCCAAACTGCAAGTGTTTCATGTTTTAGACCCTTTCAGATTCTAAAATAAACTCTCCTGGCCAAGCATCCCGAATCCAGTTTTGCTTTGTTTTAACAGAGTTTTTCAGTACAGCCTGGTGGGTCCAGAATTCATTCTGACATGGGGCCAGCTTTGCCTGGGTCCTTGTCCCTCTGTCTCCCAAGCTCTTGGTTTATAGAGCACACTAACTTGGCAAGTTAATTCTCTAAGCCTCGGTTTCTTCATCTGTACATTTAAAAAAATATAGAAATTATTTCTTAAGGCTCATATGTGAGAATCCAATAATCTATATAAATCTCTGGCAAAAATACTTACCTCCGACTCTGAAAGTTAGCTGCTATTATTATTATTCCAGAACAGTTTGGCTGCTGTTTATAAGTTGCAGGAAGTCACAGTTCGAAAAACCAAAACACGCTCTTAATGTAGTATCCAGAGACTTTTAGTAAATACTCGTCAGCGATGGAGACAACATCTCCACATTGGCTCACCTCTGGGAACCATTTAGACAATGAGAACTATTCCAGACAAGTTTTCCAAGGAAATCATCTCACTGGATCAGCTATGAAGGGGCTTTATGGAATGCTCCTACGCTGGCCTAATTCTGAGAACTTGCCATCGTAAGAGCGAGCAGTAGGTTCGGCACCCGCCACTGGCTACCTCCCAGGAAGTGGTGCTCAGAAGGCGGGCAGCTAACTTACTCCTCCATGACGGTCTAACCATACCGCCTAGTCAGCGCTGACCACCAGATGCGGAAGTGACTTTTTTCTTTTCAGTGATTTTTTGTTTGGCCTCCTTCTGTAACAGATACACTAGAAGTGTTTGCACGAACTCGTAAGTTGGCTCACAAGTGGCCTTACACTAGCGAGAGGACTTTGCCCTGTATTAAATCTTAGGAGTACACCCATCACTCAGATTTTAGCCTTTCATGCCTTGGAAGGTACTCAGCTCACTTCCTGGGGCAGGGAAATGCAAGTCAAAGAAGCTTTCAAGAGTGTAAATCCAATGCTGAGGAGACACAGAAGCTTCGAGGCCCTAGGAGTGATGGACGGCCGTCAAGATCATCAAGTCACCTTCGTCTCGGAAAGGAGAAGTAAACGGGGCATGCGCAGGACCCTGAATCCATCCCATGTCCCCTGCTCCACCCATGCTTCCAGGTTTCAAGGCCCAGCCAGACCCACACTATCCCGGAGGAGCTACACTCAGATTAGGCAATTTTGCACCTTTCTCTAGTATTACTTTACTGGAAAAGACCTCAGCGGAGAAAGGCCATGATGGGGAACCTAGAAAGGGAAGTTCGGTCCAGAAAGCTCCCCAAACCGGAAAACCACGGCTCCATTCCACCTAAACAGCAAACAGCTGAGTGGTGTGGCCATACAAAATTACCCGCAAGCCCAGATCACAGAACTCCTCCCATTTGCAAGCTGCTAATTCCATGCCAAGAAATTGCATGCGAAGCGGCTCGCTCCAAAACGGAGAGCCTGCAGCTCACACACACGCAGTTCCTCAGCTACGTCCATCTCTCTGCCCTTTCTGCAGTGTATTAAATGAACCATCTGGTATTCACTCTGGCCTATAGGCTGGACTCTCTCGCCAACTTGCCTAGCCACCCCACACTCTTGTTTATTTTAACCACAAAGGCAAGACATCTTTTTAAAACCTAATTGAAAAAAAAAATGGAAACAGGCAACCTGGAATGCAAAAAAAAAAAAAAAGCAACAAAAAATGCTTCTGCAGCTTGTTTTATCACTCTGGAAACAGACTTACATTTTCAAACGTAAAGCAGACTGTGAAGAACAAGGCCCATTTTCCACCCCCTTGGGCATCGCCAAGAAAGGGCGACATTCTAGGTCTCGTGCCAGATGAACTCGGTATGTTACTAAACAGTTGTAGTGGCCCTTCTGTAAGCTATGGTTGCTGCCTTTCATATCAAGTTCCTCTGAATAAGACAGAAAGGGAAATCCCACGGAGAAGTGAAGCTGAGGTGGAGATAGGCTGGGAAGGACCTACCCACTCCATCCCATTAAATAACTGGACTTTTTAAAAAAAAAAAAAAAAACCAATCCTGGGGCTGGAGAGATGGCTCCGCCATTAAGAGCACTGACTGCTCTTCCCGAGGACCCAGGTTCAATTCTCAGCACCCACTTGGCAGCTCACAACAGTCTGTAACTCCAGTTCCAGGGGACTCTAGGCACATGGCAAAGCATCAATCTACATAAAAAAAACCCTAAGTCCCGTGTCTGCCTCTCTCTTGAGCGTCTACGACTTTGTCTGCCTCCACACACTGAAAATTATATGATTAAACAAGACATATAGGTCTTCATTATATTTTTATTATTTTATGTGCTTGAGAAATATGGAAATAATTTCTTCTATGACGTTTTATAAATCTTAGAATAAAATCTAAAAGGTTTCATGGTCTGCAAGGCCCTACCCGCTTCATCTATCCCTGCCGACATTGTCACCTGTCTCCGGCAGCCCCTCTCCTCCCCACCCCTGCTCACTGCTCATCACTCACAGTGGGAAACGTTCACAGTTTCCAGCTGAACTAGCACAGGCTTTGACTTCACCGGGACTGGTTGGTGGGGGACACGCGTGGCTCAGGAAGACCAGGGTCGACAGGATAAACAATGGGACTATTGTGCGGGAATGAGGAAGGAAAGGAGCACTTTTCAGGACTAAAGAGAACGGGAACGGAACGGCCAGGAGAGAGGGAGAAACAGAGATGGACTTACTAAGCCAGAGCATATTGAAAACTCTACTCTCTCCTATGTTCTCTACATAAACACGTATGGTCAAGCTCTGACTTTCAGAACAGCAGACTGTCACATATATTTATGTGCAGGTACATGGGATAGCAGCCCATCATGTAGCGTTTATGTCCGGGTACACGGGCTTAGATCCCACACACATTCATGTCCAGGTACACGGGATTAGGTCCCACATGCATTCAGGTCCAGGTACACGGGCTTAGATGCCAAATGCATTCATGTCCAGGTACACGGGCTTAGATGCCAAATGCATTCATGTCCAGGTACACGGGCTTAGATGCCAAATGCATTCATGTCCAGGTACACGGGCTTAGATGCCAAATGCATTCATGTCCAGGTACACGGGCTTAGCCCCTAAACACAGACCACGGGATATCTCTGTGGGTGAAGTACTGACCATCAAGCCTGAGACATGAACCAAATCTTAGAGGTCACATGATGAAAGAATCCCTTCCACAATCTGTCGTCTGGCTTCTACATGCACACATGCAATGGCACACATGTGCCCATGTGCCCACAGACATGCAAAGCATGGAAAACAATGTAAAAATAAATAAATGATTAGACCCCGACATATCAGTAAGGCTGACACAGAGAGCGCCTCCTGTGGGAAAGCTTGCATTGGATAAATATGAATCCACCTTCTCTACTAAAATCACATCAGTAAAACCTACTGGATCAATCACCCTGTTAGTGGTGGAAGGACAGAGAGGTCACCCACCTTCTGCCATTAGCTGTGAGCCCTAAGCCTCAGTGACAACGGGGTAAATTTATAGAGGAGAAGGTAATTATAAATATACATATAATATCCATTTCATTGTTTAATAATGTGGCTGATATATTTCATTTTTGGGCTTCACATAGTAAAACAATAAATAACTGCAATTTGTATAGAATTCAAGTTAATTAAAAACTGTAAGGACAATCCTGATTCTACCTGTGTGGCTGGTAAAAATGCAAAGAGAAGGCTGGTTCCGTGACTTCTCTTGGTCTTGATGATAATCATATCCAAAGTTGACAAACCTAAGGTTATTAAGGAACAGAAATTATTGAATGCATGTAAAGAGGTGTTCTCCTCATACACGCTATAACCACTACGGCACGCTCACAGACGCAGAAAAAAAATGCTTTTGATCTGTTGTCATAAATAGGCATGATTAAACATCCACGTGTGTTTAACCAAAGCCGATGAGATACTGAGCAGCTTAGGACTGCCGTTACTCTAACTTTGGAAGACTTGCTTTGCTTCTGGCCTTTAATGTACTCTATTTTGTCTTATTTTTTCAAATGCTTTTGCTTTTTACTACACATAAAACACTCTCCAAAAAGAAAAATCTTGCCTTTTGTGTAAAGAGGAAAACAGAAAAAAAAAGAAAAAAGAAAAAACAAAGCAAGAAACCGGGCTGAGTTACAAGTGGGTTTACCTGGGATTTTGCCGGCAGTAAAAAAGCATTTGATGTGTGATCTAAATGCATTTGGGCTGACTCAGAGAACCTTCTGCTTACTCACAGGGAGACAAACACTTCCATGGATCAAAATAAATGCAGGTGCCCTACAGAAATACATGGCTAAGAAAAGCATCATAGTTGGCTTTATACATATAATCCTGGATCCACTGGTAAGTCAACCTATATTCTGTAAAGAATGGGAACACTAATAATAGATCCACAAGGGGCTAGGCAGATTAGTGGTCAGATATTAAGAGCACCCACATGGCAGCTCACAACCTTCTGTAACTCCAGGTACAGGGGATCTGATGTCCTCTTCTGACCTCTGCAAACATTGTACACACATTGTATACACATTGTATATGCAGGCTAAACATCCACACATGTAAAATAAAAATAAAACAAATCCTAAAATAGATGCACAAAATATCAGACATTCCAGTATCTACTAGCACAACTAGGAAAAGATGTCATCATTTTGTTACCTACAAATGTCTATGAAATCTAATATCCTGGGGGTAACTTACTTAAATCTTAAGCCACTCAATGATATGTCCAAGGGCATTTCAAACTGTCAAAAAAAATGAGGATATCAGCATTAAAAATGACATTACAGGTCTTCCCCAGAGAAGAGTGTATCCATTGACTGTCCAGTGACAAATGGCCAGTCCTGAAATCATGCAACTAGAATTCACATAGTCATACATGCATATACAAATGTGTACACATAATCATACATGCATATGCAAATGTGTATACATAGTCATACATGCATATACAAATGTGTACACATAGTCATACATGCATATGCAAATTTGCACACATAGTCATACATGCATATACAAATGTGTACACATAGTCATACATGCATATGCAAATGTGCACAATAGACATACATGCATATACAAATGTGTACACATAGTCATACATACATATACAAATGTGTACACATAGCCATACCTACATAAACAAATGTGTACATATAGCCATACGTACATATACAAATGTGCACACATAGTCATACATACATATACAAAAATATATACACATAGTCATACATACATAAACAAATGTGTACACATAGCCATACATGTGTATACAAATGTGTACACATAGCCATACATGCATAAACAAATGTATACACATAGCCATGCATACATGTACAAATGTGTACTCATAGCCACACATGCATATACAAATGTGTACACATAGTCATACATGCATATACAAATGTGTACACATAGTCATACATGCATATACAAATGTGTACCCATAGTCATACATGCATATACAAATGTGTATCCATAGTCATAAATGCATATGCAAATATGTACACATAGCCATATACGTGTATAAGTAACATTACACAAACATGTGTACACATAGCTATATGTGTATACAATAAGTAACATTACACAGACACGTATATGCATGAATATCAGCATTAAAAATGACATTACAGGTCTTCATATCTGCATAAATAAGAATTAATGAAAGAAGAAGCCATGAATTTGGAGGAGAATGGGAAGGGGTATTGGCAGGGTTTGGAGGAAGGAAAGGGAAGGGAGAAATTTTGTAACTATATTATAACCTCAAAAAAAAAAGAGTTAAAAAATGGCATTACATGATAACAGTTGTGAAATGCAAAGCCAGCTGCCAGTGCTTGGCTGGTCTGGTGATAAAGGGACTACTCAGGCATCTTCTCCAAGTGTGAGCCCAAAACCCACAGGGCAAGGAGTCTACTGAGGATGCTCTGGAGTTTACAGACACATTTAGTGCATGCTTCCTGCCTACACGGCCAACTGTGCCTTAAATGAATATCATTGACAGTTGTGCAGTAGGACAATTAACAGCAACAACCGTTCACAGGACAGACAGTCATGGACGGAAGGAAGCCTGAGGTGTCTTTTAGAGTGGGTGAACTAAAAATGGGGCAGGAAAGATAAGAAAGTCTTGTAATAGTGTGAAACCAATATGTGCTTGATAGCAATACTGGTCCTCAGAAAGGAAATACTCTACATCCCAGATAAAGCAGTGTAGTGTCTTACCATAGACAGACAGACACTAGACACTAAACTGTACACTCTGACTGACCCCCTTCCCCATCCTCAAACCCATTCTATTCATGTTTCCTTTTGAGTCAAACAACTTGCAACCACTTAGTACAATCTACTCTGGACCACATCTATCACCTTCCTCTAAGCCCCTCTTAGTGCGGATGCTTTAAAAGCTCCCCACCCCGTGCATGTTGTCCTCTGCTCCTGCATCAACTGTGCATCTGTCAGAGAGATGCAGCCTCAAGACAGCAGAAACCAAGTTATTGGATCATGCAAGTGACTGGCACAATATCAAAATGTCAAAAGTTTTGCTTATGGCTTCAACTCTAGTAAAATTTCCTGGGCAGATCATTCTATCTACTTACCATTAAATTAAAGCTTTCGTCCTCCCAAAACTGGATGCATTTCAAGACACTCTTTGATTTCTAGAAAAGAAAATGCTTGACATCTTATCTCCAAAAATTAAAAAAGCTGAAGAGAAAAAACAGTCAAGAAGCCTTAAAAACAAAACCTGTGTGTTGTCTTTAATAAATCTCCATTGGCAGTTCCAATTAATGACAATGTAGTTATTAAAAATCTATAGCACAGGCTAGAGAAATGCCTCAGGGAGTAAGAGCACTGGTTGCTCTTCTACAGGACCTGGGTTCGGTTCCTGGCACACACATGGTAGCTCACAACCGCCAGTAACTCAGCCCCAGGGGATCCAACATTCTCTTCTAGCCTCTGAAAGCACTATACATACATGGCACATAGATGTACATGCAGGTGAAATACCCATATTCATGAAATAAAAAAATAAATCTCAAACATATTTAAGGTACACATTGTTAAAGCAATGATGTGAAAATTATACTGTTTCTATAGAAACAGGTACCAATGGGCTGACCCTTACCTCCAGTTCAATGTAGTATAATCTCTGCTCAGACATATCCCATTGAGCCCAAACAAAATCTTCAGCTATTCTGTCTCTTGGGAGGTGGATAGAATTTCTAATGACCTAGAGTAAAAATGATTTTATAAGTATTTTTAAAAATGACAACCTAAGTCATTACTTATGCACACGCTTTCCCTATGATACACGTAAATAACCATACATTAGTGTTAGCACCTCCCCACCCCCGCAACATACATAATTTTCCTATAGAATATTTAAGGCGTCATCGCCTCATCTCAGTACCCTGTGCTCTGTTCTTCTTAGCGTAACAGGCAGGTTGGCAGAGGCCACGCCTTCCACAAACGTCTGTACTAACAGAACGTGTCCCACAGGGGTGATGGGTGGCATTGCCTACCCGTCAGCAATGCTTGACTCTTAGCCTTCAAAAGCTAACTAGGATTTTGAGTTTTGACTAAAACCTCAGAATCCCCATACAAAAGCAAATTTCCCTGGCTGTGTGTTCCTGTGGGGCCTTTGTGTACTTCTATAGTTACACCTTAGCACTGTACTGTAGCTCACGGTTATGTCCCAGTGAGCGTGCACACCTCTAGGGACCTCTGCTGACTCGTGCCTTGAGTGGTTCTAAAATTTAATATTACCCAAGGACTGCTTCAATAGATGAAGGAAGACGAAATAAGAGTACATTAACAATATATTAATGCAAAGTGTCTGTTTAAACTCAAAGGACAACAGAGATTTAAAATCAAAGCATGAGGGCAGGGGACACAGCTCAGCTTGTGGAACCCTTGCCTACTGGGCAGGAAGCACCAGTCTCCAGCTCCCCGTAAGTCAGGCCCTGCAGCACACGAGTGTGTTCCCAGCAAGTGAGTGTGTTCCCAGCATGTGAGTGTGTTCCCAGCACGTGAGTGTGTTCCCAGCACGTGAGTGTGTTCCCAGCATGTGAGTGTATTCCCAGCACATGGGTGAGCTCCCGGAACATGAGTGTGTTGCTGGCACACAGGTGTGTTCCCGGAACAAGAGTGTGTTCCCAGCACTTGGGACGATCAGAAGCTTAAAATCATTACTGGCTACATAGTGAACTCAAGGGGAAACTGAGGCCCAGAGATGTTAGATTAGGTTGTGAAGTTAGTTCACCAGAACCGAGTCCCAACATCTGGCATTTTGCTAGAACTTTCTTTTACAGAGCAGCAGATTTTTCAATGGCTTCATAGAAGGGGCTAAGAATTCACTTTCCAGGGCATGGGCAATGGCTCGGTTGGTAAAGTGCTGTGTTGTAAGCATGAGAGACCCTAAGGTTGACCCCCAGACCCACAGAGAAAGACAGGCACAGTGCTTGTGATTGTAATCCCAGGACTGGGGGGACATAGACAGGGGTTCTCTGAGACCAGCTGCCTGCCCCAGGCCAGTGAGAGACCCTGTCTCAAGATAGAAGGTGGATGGTATCTGAGGAATCATACCCAAGTTTGACCTCTGGCCTACACACACACACACACACACACACACACACACACACACTAGCATATATACACACTTATATACATGAACACACACACCAGCATGAACATACAAACACACATCGGTATACACATGCATGCACACACACACTAGCATATATACACACATACATACATGAACACACACACACCAGCATGAACATACAAACACACATCAGTATACACATGCACGCACACACACTAGCACATATACACATACATATATGAACATACACACCAGCATGAACATACAAACACACATCAGTATACACATGCATGCACACACACACAATGCACACACATATACATGTGTGCTCACAAGGAATTTACTTGATACCAGCACTGGGTTTGCTGGGCCATGCCTGAAACACCAGTTCTCAGAACACTGAAGCAGGAGGAACACAGGTTCCCTGCCAGACTGAAAGACAAAAACAAGACCCTAAAAGAAAAACAAAGAAAAAAAACATAGCAGAGTTTACTTTCTCAGGGCAAGGGATCTGACTTGGTGGCCTCGCATGTGAAATTCCAGGGCCAAGTCATTCTCCTCGAGGTACCTACCAAGCAGGCACCAAACCGTAAAACAAAACCTCTTGACCCTGAGCTGGACCAGGCAAAGAGCCCTCTGGATGAGGAGCCCTCGGGATGGTACAGATTCACGCCTGAACCGTCTCTACCCAGAAAGGAAGTTCTCCGACACTAGCAGGAACTTGAGGTGAGAGAGCACAAAGCACAGGGCCCACCCAGCTCTGTGTCTTCCTCTGCTGGGTCCACAGCCACTAGGCCGTGGGAAGTGATGCCAAAGATCTTAGGGCGCCTTCCGTATCCTCCATATCCACACCGTCTCTACGCGTATGAATTCTGGCTTGGGGGAACAGGTTTGGGAATCTTTCCAGCCAAAGCCATATGATGGCGAGATGAGCGTCAGATTCTGGCTGAGCACCTTAAAATATCCACTGTGTCCCTCTGGGGTGACGTCACTCCGTTTCTCGGTTAGAAGACGGAGCCACAGCACCACCTCCCTCACCTAAGGATGTTGTGGCAAACAGGGGGAATCGAACACCCTTACAAGAAGCCATTGCTAAAGCCTTCTGTGTGGGCAGAAGTGGTGCCCAAGAGGGGCACCAGAGGATGGAGAAACACTAAAGCTGGGCCATCTTGGTGAGTGGGATGCTGTCTGGGCAGCCGGAAGGAGCCCCTCCCCTCACTCCCAATGATCCAACCCTTCATTCAGCCCCTGCTCATTCCCATCTAATATGCGTGCTGAACATCCTTCTCCAAGTTCTCATAGCTGTCGTCGGGATCCAAACACTGTGGGTCACCACCAGCCAGGGCCACATCCACACGGCCATGCTTGGTTTCCCGGCAGCTCCTCTGGTTTGATGCTTTCAATGGTAGCTACATGGTTAGTAAATGTCACTTCCCATTTCTGTTTCGTTCATATAACTTTAACATCTTCAGAGACACATCCACATTCTCAGAGGAAGATTACTTTGAGGGCTGTCAAGTAAAGGGCCCTGCCACCAAGCCTTACAACCTGAATTTGATCCCTGGAATCCACAGGGTAAAAGTTCTCTGATCTCCATACTCATCCCATGACATGAACACACACACACACACAAGTACACACATGCACACATGCATTCATACACGCACACACTGGTCACATTCAAACACATACACACATACACTTACACGCACATACATACTTGCTCACACACATATATACTCACATCATGAATGAACACACACTCACGTGCACACACACATATACACTCACATTCATGTACACGAATACACAAAGACTCTTGTGCACACATATGCACTCTCATGTGTACACAATGCACACAAACACACATATCACAAATCACACCAAATAAGTGTAAAAAGTAAAGGTTCTCTTATACAGACTAAACAATGAGTAAAACCATTTCAATATCTATATTATATCTAAAGTTATAGATCACCAAGTAGAAAAACAGACAAGGATATAATCAATAAATTTTCTTAATAGCAAATTTAAATAGCCAGTGCACAGAGAAGATGCCCAAATTGAAAAGACAGTAACAACTATAGATTAATATGGCAGTAGGGTATGAGTTCACACCCATGAAATTGGGAAGTGTAAAAGGTGCATTTACCGGATACTCTCACACTTTGCTTGTAAAACTAGTTTTGTGAGACACAACTAGCAAACCCTCCCGAAAGTTACTAAGTGCACTTCCCATCGACCCAGTCATCCAAATCTGAGGATCGAGGCCAAAGAAGTGACCGTACCGACATGCTAAGGTCCAAACACAGAATGGCTGAAACATCACAGACGCCATGCCGAGAACTGCCATGCACTTCCTCAGAAAACACATCGAAGCTATTCTAGCTAGCTTCTAGATGATTACACAGCGAGTTAATAATAAACCAAGCAGGGTTCGTGTAGATAAACGTGGAGTCGACATAAGCTGATAAACATGGAGAAGAAGTAGAAGGACACATGCCAGACAAAAGGGGAGTGGAGAGACACGGAAGTCACGGTCCTATTTGTGATGTTTATTTGTTAAAAATTAGAGAAATACAATTAGTTACCTTTCTACTTACTAACCTATATCCTCCTGATTGAACAAGTCAAACAGCAAACACAAAGGCAGAGATTAAACGTACTATGTTATGATTCTGTTTGATAAAAGTTTCCCCTATGTGTGTATCTAACCTTGGACAGGTTTGCACAAGCAAGCAAGACCGTGGAGAGCCTCGGGTCACTAACTCCTCCACACATCTTTGTTCTCTTTTACAGGTCACGAGAGTAGGGCTATTATTCAAAAGACACCAAAAAATGTTTTCTGTCAATGGGGTTCATCTGTCCTCATAAGTCTAGAGGCAGATCTCTCTTCTGAAGGAAGAAGAAAGAAGAAGGAAAAGGATGTCGATCCTTACCACTCTGTTCCCATCTTCTCTGGCGATCTGGATATGAAACCGCTCAATATCTGAAAAATATAAACCAAAGGAAAAATCGATATTTTACCATTCGGGAAAAAACAACAGTACAGTTTTTCTAATAGTTGTGGAGCAGTAGAAAAGTACGCTATCATACACAGGGATCCCACAATACTTACAGACCCACCGTCCCCCTGACAGTGAGCTTCCTGACCCACCGTCCCCCTGACAGTGAGCTTCCTGACCCATGTTCACTCTTACTTTAGTGTTCTTTTTTTTAATGTTTTTTTAAGGTTTATTTATTTATTATGTATACAGTATTCTCAGTACTCTGCCCGAAGGCCAGAAGAGGGCACCAGACCTCATTACAGATGGTTGTGAGCCACCATGTGGTTGCTGGGAATTGAACTCAGGACCTTTGGAAGAGCAGGCGGTGCTCTTAACCACTGAGCCATCTCTCCAGCCCTTACTTTAATGTTCTAATCCACAAATCACCTGGCCCTCTGTTGCTTTGCTTCTCTCTACAAGTGCTTGCTACTCTTGTATCATCCATCGTAGATAAGACTAATGAAAGCCTCATTAGTTCATTTACCTCTAATTTCCCAATACATATATGTATTAATAAAAGTATATATATATTACATATACATGCACACACAAGAGACATTTTTAGGGGCTACATCACATGAACAAAAAGCTGTACTACTTTTATTCAAGTTATAGTAACAGTAACAATCTATATTCTGTTGGCTCTAACTGCAAGACAAAACACGGCACCAAAAACTGACCCAAAACGCAGGAACTAAATACAAATACAATGTAACCTGTCCTTCCAAACGTAAGAGAACCCAGTTTCACCTCACAACATCAAATACTGCTTGTTTGTAAGTATTAATGGATTTTGTCTGTACTCCTAACCGAAACTGAAACCATCCCGAAAGGCCATGACCTCTTGCACCATTTCCACTTGAGCTGGGTCATGCTACTGTGTACTTTAGTTCTGCCCTGGAATTCTTCTAGCGACCAAGCCTTCCATTCCTTCTCTCCATCCAAGCCCCTTACGCTTGGACCACAGCCATCCGCTCCGACAGACAGGAATCTTAAAGGAAACAGTGTAACTGTTCTACCGGTTTGTGCATGCACAAGGTATTCCTTTCCCAAGACAAGGAAACTGAGTGGGGGTTAAAGAAAGGGCTGGGGAAGGAAAAGGAATTCTAGGTCTCTGGTGGACAACAGAGGTTAGCAGACGCTGGGCAATGGTAAAGATATCTAGCAGTTTAACCAGTCTTCAGGTTTCACTAGGAGACTGACTGTGCGCACACCGCCTGTCCATTATCCAAAGACACACTTACATTTCTCTTCTGAAATCAGTAAGAGGTGGTTCTGGAGAAGACGGCCTTCAACGTCTGGGTAGAGGAACTGTAGGAAGGGAATTATAAAAATCATAAGCCACTATTTAGCTTATACTGATACTTCAGTAGTTGCTTGGCCATGGTTACGGCTACATCCCAGGCAAGGAACTGAGAACCACAGAATATTTTAGGGGAATCACAAGTACATATGTCAAAGGTCAAGCAAGTAGAGGAAGGAGGCTCTGAGGATCTCAGTTTTCTGGGGGGAGACTGGTACTAGGTACATTATCACCAATCTTTTGAGCATAAGGCAAAGAGGAAGATACCTTCAGGAATGATGCTTCCTGTTTGGAATATTTGATCGTGCATCCAATCGGAAGCAATGCAAATGACATGTATACAATATGTTGTATCTCACGCAGAGCCAAAGGGCGGCCAGTATATTTATTGTGAAACTAAACCTAGTATATAATTGGGAACCACGAAAACAGTCCCGGCTGCAATTTCCAGGCTCCCACATCTGAGAGACAAAGAAGCATGTAACCAGGGACTTTCCAAGAAAGACCAGGGAGTCGTGATGTGGCAATGGCTGAAGGTTTACAAGGCTCAGAGTTGGGCTAGCTGTCACTGGGAAGAGAAGCTTTGCCACAGCACGCTCTCCACTGCGGCTCTGCCCCCAGCACACAGTTGACTCTGTTAACTGTGATGATGAAGGAGAAGTGGCAAGAGATGGGGGGGGTCAATGCTCAATCTTTCATCATCTAAAAAGTGACAGACAGCTTCATTTTACAGCATGAAAAGCAATTTACTAGGAATTACCAGTAAATGTTGCTCCCTGGGACCCCAAAATGTAAAACATTATAAAAGGACATAACTATGTATGACTTAACTTCACAGACACTGGGCTTTCTATTACTGTTGCCTTTATTTTACATAATAGGTCAGACGTAGAGCAGACCAGTTTCTTTAAGTAATCATGTTGAACTCCTAGAACCGGAAAGCAAACCATTAACTATATGACGTTCTTCTCAGCAATAACCCCACATCATAGATAGCAATATAGGCTTCGGCTTCAGAAACAATACAGGGCTAGTTATGAATGACTTCTAGAGTGTGCACAGATGAGATGCCCTGCACAGTGCGGCTGGGAAGGCCTAAGATGAGCGGCACCACACACGTGACAGCAGAGCTCAGAGCTTCAAAGCAAGGAGCTGTCCCTTCAGAGAATGACATGCCTTGGCAAAATGTGTCCGTCTCCTCCAGAAGAGCTAACCCAGGCGGACAGATTCATGACCTGGTCAAGGGGTGCCCCTCAGGAACAAAGGACCATCTCCAGAAGCCGTGCTAAAGAGATGGGTGGAATAACCATCCCTTTAACGAGTGTAAGCCTGGAGAAAGGCAGGGTATCGTCCGAGCTAGGGATGTGCCAGCAGGTGACTCACCTGCTCAGCCAAAGCCTGGTCAAGGGCCACAGATGTTCATTTTGAATTGCAAATAACCCTTCACAAGCACAGGGAGGCACAAGTGTGGAATCTTCCGATGAAAAATGACTTGTTCACCCACACTGTCCACCAGTGCTTCGGTAGCAACCCACAGTGTTGCGAAAGTCAGGAATTTACTGCCGTTAACCAGATAATTGCTCTGTCAACCAGGTGGATGTGTAAAATAAACAACTCTAAAGCTTGCCACGGAGTTACTTTAATATTTGATGGTTTATCGTGTGAAAACATTGCCTTACTATCTGGTATAGCAGAGCCGGCGCAGCCCGTGTTTATGAGGGAAACATTGACATTTAAGCCTTCACATCTGGAGCTGCTTAGAGGATTAAATGAGCTATTGTGTGCATTGTGAACAGGTACCTTTCTCCCTGGGGGCCACACCTTCTGATTAACGAGACTGGTAATAGGTGGCTTACTTACCTGTACCCAAATACAGCTATCCACCGCTTTCAGAACCTTCTCGTGGTTGACAGGATGGATTTCAACCAGCAGCGTTAAGCACTTTGACCCTGCAAAGGAGGACTGTAGTCATAACAACTGGGATAGCACGCGTTCTCTTTTCTCAAGCAACCACGAGAAAGAATGCCTGATGTCTCAGCTTACACCAGCCATGAATTAGGAGAACAACTCTACCAGCATCACAGTGGCTCTTGAGGTGACACTAAGCTGTAATTCGAGTCCCCAGATCCTTTCTTCGGGGATGTGTGGTGGTCCAGGAGCTCTAAACAAAATATCAACCTGCCTTCCACTTCCTTATATGCCCAAGAGAAGCTGCATTTGAGCCGGTCACAGAATGACCACATTAGCTGGGCAGTGGTGGCACACGCCTTTAATCCCAGCACTCGGGAGGCAGAGACAGGCGGATCTCTGTGAGTTTGAGACCAGCGTGGTCTACAAGAGCTAGTTCCAGGACAGGCTCCAAAGTTACAGAAAAACCCTGTCTCGAAAAACCAAAAAAATAAAAGGGAAGCCTTTTCACACTTTAGGACAGCAGCAGGCCCAGGGGAAGAGAAGCACCCTGTTTACAATCCAAATGGTTTCTGAAGCAAGATGCAATCCCTGCAGCCCTGACTAACACAGGAGCAGCCACGCTGACCCCAACAGCTGCCCTTTCTCCTGCACAGATGCAATCCCTGCAGCCCTGACTGACACACCATGCTGACCCCAACAGCTGCCCTTTCCCCCAGACAGCATCATTTGCAAATCAGCGCAGCTGGGATTTGAACGCGTGTTCCCCATTACATCAGGTTGACATTTCTCAAACTCAGAACTGGGGCCACAGGCATGTAACTCAGCGGTGGGGCAAATGACAAGGATGTGGGAGGTCTTAGTTTTCATTACCAAGAAGGAAAAATAAATATCGAGACAGATAAAGATCCCACAATGAAGCAGAAGCCAGGTCAGTGCACCTGCAGCGAGACCATTTTTAGCACGGTTTCATAGACCCTCTGCCTTCTTAGTCTACATCAGCACAGCCCCACCCATGGTCTGTCCAGTTCTCCAGCCTGTGGCAGCCCGGGTGTGAAAGTAGAGAGAGATTCTCAAGCGTATGTGTCATGGCTGACCGTGCCTATCAGCAGCACACTCCGGTTTCCCCCGGAGCAATGGAACAGCACCGTCAACAGCTGCCTTAGGTCCTGGGGTCACATCAGAGCAAAAGATCATAAAAGCAATTAGAAGTAAGCTCTTGGCCAGGGGCTGGAAAGGGTTTACCACAGCCATCCAAACATAGGTCAAAGGTCCCCATTCCTAAGAGAGTGGTCGAGTTCTTATAACTCTAATATACTCAGGTTCTCTCTCGATTGCTGTACTGGGAATATTAACGCACAATTTGGGGATCACACAGCAGGCTGAAAACAATCACTTTTTAGTTCTTAAGAGTGACCTGGCACACGAACCAGTTTCCGGGATATGACCTAACAAATTAGTCCTGGGTATTTCTATACAAATGTCTCTAATGATCACCAGAGGGGGAAACTCCCAAACCGAGGGGCAATCAAAATGGGAGATTCCTGGGCTAGGATGACGACAAGTCCAGCTGCTGTCCTAGAGCTAAAAGGCAGGGAGGCTGGCAGGGTTCTGGCCTGTAGGCTCCGCCTCAAGGAAGAGCAAGCTGAGCAGTTCACTGCACCTGTGTCCAAGGGCGGACACTTGGGCTCAGGGAACTCGAGGACTCAGCTGGCCCGCCCCACACGCTCCTCACCCTCCACCCCCACTGCCACAGGCGAGGCCGGAGAGCCTTGTGGGTCAGAGGTCACAACTGCTTTTACTGCAAGACCTGCAGCCTAAGCCAGACCTGCGACCTCCCGCACCGTCAGACGCCCTGCAGCTCTGGAAGCCTTGCTGAGAACGTCTGCTGGACTTCCGGTTATAAACCGGAGATGGCGAGACAGACAATCTCCAGGGAGAGCATCCTGTGGACCCCGGGGGCCACCTCTGACTTCCTCATCTGGAGGTGGATGCTTGTGCTTCCCGTTGCTTCTCTTTGCTGAGAGATCTCAAGCAGCCCAGGCTGATGATCTTCAACTCAGCATCTCTGAGGACGGCCTCAGATCCTTAATCCCGCAGCCTGCACCTCGGGAATGCTGGGATTCCAGGGGTGTTTGCTTTGGTTTACTTGGGAGGGCGTGTTTCTGACTCTGCCCTGGAGTTTGGAATGAGTCTCCTGTCTCGCAGCTTCTAGGATGTTGGGCTGTCCACCGAGTCTCCTGACAATGGTTTTGTTTGTTTGGGTGTGTGTGAGAAAGATTTTCTTCCTTTTAACATCATTTAATCTAGTGCCTTTAATTTTTTTCTGTTTTGGATTTTTTCCCCCTCCTTTGAGGCAGTTTCATGAACCACCTTGCCCAGAGCTTAGCAGGTTTGCTCTTAAGACCTAGCAATACTTTCTCAGACAGCTTGTTAGAGACTTGTTGGCTATTCATTTCTATCAATGGTAGATTAATAAACGTTATTATTAGAAGCTAAGAAAATGCCTTGAGGGATTGGGGAGAGGGTTCAGTGGGGAAAGCACTTGCTACACAAGCAGGACGACTTGAGTTCAGACTCCAGACATCACATAAAACAGCCAAACATGGCAGTGTCCACCTAACTCCAGAGTGGAGACAAGCAGATCCAGCTAGCTCACTGGTCACATCCGTGAGCTCTGGGTTCACTGAGAGATCCTGTCTCAGACAGAGAGAGACAGAGAGCAGTAAATTCTGTCCCCCCACACACGTTCACACTCCACACACGCACACCTCTCCTTCTGAGCACACCAGTCACTTGGAAAGCAAGACATGTTGAATCACGAGTATAATTTCACAGGTAAAATATGTGATGATACTCATGGTTTATGACCCAACACAGAACCAGCAGCCCAGGGACAGGACAGGACATCAGTTTAAGAAGGCTGTGTTCCTGTTGACTGAGATGCAAAGATGTTGCTGTGACCAAAAGTGACTTAAGGGAGGAAAGGTTGGGGATTTTTTTTTTTTTTTTTGCTTGTTTGTTTTGGATTGTTGATGTTGTTGTTTTGGGTTTGTTTGGTTTGGCTTACACACCTAGGTCACAGTCCATCACTGAGGGAAGTTGGGGCAGGAAGCAGAACTAAAGCTTGAAGAATGCTGCTTGCTGAATCACGGGCTCATGGCTAACTCACTTCCTTATGCAGCCCAGAACAACTCGCCCAGGAAACGGTGTTGCCCACAGGGTGATGGGTCTTCCCATATCAACTAACAGTCAAAAGAATTCCCACACAACACATGCACAGGCCCGTCTGGTTTGGACAATCCTCAACTGAAACTCTTTTCTCGGCTGACTACAGGCAGTGTCACACGGATAGTGAGGGACCCTGGAAATCTATCTGCTCGGTGCCTAAAGCGTGGCTTCAGGAGTAAGAGGGACACCGGTGTCAAAGACAGTCAAGAAGAAAATAGAATAAAAATAGTCTGCAAAAAGTGAGAACAAGAGGGGAGAGCAAATTTTCCTACCAATGTCTATTTTAAATATACGACTGAATTACTGTATCAGATTACACAAAAGGACAGCCAATTATCTCATATAAAAATTCACATGCTCTAACTGCATAAAAAACCCACAGTTTGGGGAGACTTTAAGGAAAAATAGAGAATCACCCTAGATTGTCCTTCACAGCATGAATTTACATATTTAAATAAAAAAATAACCAACTATCGTTTAAGTTTTCTTTATCTTTCTCCACTAACCACCCCCGCCTGGTTCAGCACAGGCCAGGAATTTAATTAGGACAGCTACCACAGGGGTGGGAGTCAACTACCACTAACAGGAGTGTTTCTCAGGGACATGCCGCATACTTCACAGTGGAGCTCTTGAGCCAAATCACAGCTCTGTGAAACACTTATTTATCTGTCCCTAATGGTGTGGAGGCTCTGGAAAGTCTCAATGACAGTGGGGTCCCAGTACAGTGACCACCCCAGTTGCTGCTCAAGGAGAATCTATTGTCTATAGTAGCAAAAAAAGACAGAGTTCAGCCTGGGCCTCTTCTTATGGAAGGTCATTGTCATTTTCTAAACATTAGCTATACTATGGCCAAGGAGAGACGTTACTGGTAAAAGTTGATTATAAAGTATGGGAACAGAGAAACTTTTACTTGAAATATGTTACAGTTTGTTTCTTTCACAATGGGGGAAAATATCATTTTAAAGAATAGAATGTTAAATAAAACTTTTCAAAAACTTACTTTCCTTAAATAAAATGTTGTACAATGTAACCATTCCGAGCAGACAAAAGAAATCTTTCCAAAATATCTGTTCAAAGGACAAAACGTGACACATTCTATAGTATTTTCTGGTTAAATCATTTCTGAAATGTCTTTTTTAGAGTGAAGGGTGTTTTGAGACAGGGTTTCCTGTATCCCCCAGGCTAGACCTGAAATCATTCCGCAGCTGAGGATGACTCTGAACTCTGGATCTTCTTACATCTACCCCAAGGTCTGGGACAACAAGGGATGCACCACTAAGCCCAGCCCATTTCTGAACTGGTGATTCTCAAAGGCGGCTCCCCTCAACTTCTGACTCATTCAGATTCCTACTTCTCAAACTGAGAATGCACAAAACCAGACACTTCCTCATATTCCTGTGAGCACACACACTCACCACACTCATACACACACACCACACCCCATACACACACACAACACACAAATACTCATGCACCACACACCACACACACACACACACACACGTTTTAACAAAAAAATAAAAGGTTGAGTCATTCTCAAACTTGTTCTTTTTCTCATGTGCATATCAAATCCAGAAGTAAAATCTTGAAAGATCTGTTTTTTATGTCCAGACGCATCCTTAGCCCACACAATTCCCTTTGGCTCACAGTGTAGACCATTTCTTTCCAGTGGTCTCTGCTAGGAAAACAAACACCCAGCCGCTCACCTCCATTTCCTCTGACTTCCCTTTCCTCCACCCCACCTGAGCTCACCGTCCTCATCAGTCTCTGCAAACAGCGAATCTACACCATCTAGTCCAGTCCCGCTCAGTCAGAAATGCAACTCACGTCCCCCTCTTTCCACTGCCTCTTTAACCGTGCCCCAGGAGGGTTTCCATGTCCTGAATAAACCCATAACACCAGATTCTCTGCTTCAGATGCTGTTTCTAATGAAACCCAAACTAAAGCCAGAAGTGACCTCAGGGGACAGGTCCACTCTAACCGTGAGAAGTCTACCTGAGGAGTGGGGATGGTATCCTAAGGCCACAAGCACAGTAGACATGAATCATTAGAACATTAGTGGCCACCTTGAGTCTTAACCTGCTTGAGGGTACCTCAGAATCATCCTTTTTTTCAGACTGGAAATGGGGGACAATTCTCCTTCATCTCCCTGATACCCTCTGATCGTGGGCTGGTCTATCGTGCATCCATCCATACTCCCAGTCTGTAACATAGACAAGGGAGTCTTCCAACAATCCAGAGATAAAAGCAGGAAGTTGGTAGAGAAACTGAGGGGGAACATTCTGGAATTATACCTGGACAGAGTTGGTTCTCGCCTCAGGGGCTGGGATAAAGGGTGAGTTGGGATGCCAGCTCCTTTGTGTGTACTGTGATAACTAACAATATTCAGGCTACTGTTCATGGAGACACAGTGAGCAATCTCACCACAGGTGCCCAAACTCAAGGCCAAGCAAGCATATGTGAATAGGATTTAATTTTATATCAAGTAAAACTGTACATTTTCTCTGGGAGTGCATTGGATAACACTAAGAGCTGACTATTGTTAAGCATGGCACTGAGGCAGCAATGATAAATACCAAGTAAAAACTACAGTTTGCTGGCATAACAGCTCTTCTCAGACTAACTGTGACCAGGAACAAGAAGAAGCAGACTACACACAGCGCAAATCCAAGGTGTGTGGGTCCTGCCCCACCAGCTTGGCAGCGACGTACAACAGAAACCTTGTCTTCTCAGGACAAAGGAGTCCATCACATCGGCCCCGGGTCCTGTTTTGTTCAAACCCTTGTTTAGGCATCAGCATGCTGATGTTCTAGAGTTCATCCTACATAATCCGGTCCAAATCCATCCCTTGAGGTGAGCATTACATCAAATGCTAAGAACAGTCAGGAGTATAGAGGAATGAGGAGGCCAGCAGCGCGAGGGACTGGTGACCTAGGTCTCCATGTCACTGCAGGGTGGAAGTAAGCGTGACTAAGCAGTGAGAGTCCAGATAAGACATCTAGCCCACCAACACCTCACAAAAGCCCTCCCCAGGCCTGGCTCCCATTCTCCTGCCTCTGTCAGACGTGGGGAGATGTGAGCCTCAGAGACCCAGCACGGCCTAGGAGCCTCGGGCGGAATGTACATGTGAAGGGTTTTCCCATCACATGCAACCACAGAATACGTCCAAGAGGGACTAGGCTAACAAAATAAGGAGTCAAGGGCCAAATAAATAGAGCAGAGGGGAGCCACCTGGGAACACAGCAGCAAGGGCTGAAATCAGATCCTCTGGGCCAGGACTAAAATGGTAGCTCACGGGCTGACTCCAGCCTGCTGCTGGCTATTGTTGCTGGAGCAGAGTCTAAAAACTAGTTGGGCCAACTTCTATAAATTAAATTTTTACATAAAAGTACAGCATTCTCAACAAATTGCCAAGCCGGTTCCAGTGGACTTAACTGCCCTTCACAGCAACAAAAATCCGCCAAGTAGCGGTTCCTCCCTTGATAGTTCTCAGGGGTCAAGAAAGGTTTCAGCGGCTGAACACCTTTCATTAAACAACTGAAATATTTCTCTGCGTCTGTGCTAAAACTGGAAACAAGGCTAGTGAGACACTCGGCAGGAGAAGGCCCCTGCTGCCAAGCCTGACCACCTGGACCCAACCCCAGGACCCAGATGGCGGAAGGAGAGAACCAGCTACCGTAAGTTGTCCTCTGACCTCCACACTCGTGCCCATACACATGCAGGCGTACAAAATAAACCAAGAGGAATGCAGTAATTAACAATGGGAACAATAAAAGGATCTCATTTTCCTTTTTTATGTGGCTATGTATCTTTACGAGAACACACGTTGATGTGTACAGTAGAGTCTAGAGGCCAAATGTGTAAGTCTTTCTCAGGCACCATCCATCTTGCTTTCTGAGACTGAGTCTCTCATTGGCCTGGAATGGCCAAGTAGGCTAAGCTGGCTGACCAGTGAGTGCCAGGGATGGCCTGTCTCCCCTCCATAGCACCAAGATAACAAGCGTTGTTTTTATATGGAGCTTAAAAACGAACGCAGGTTCTCACGCCTGCACAAAACTTCACTGATTGAACTACACCACGAGCGTGACGCTCACGCTCCTTCCACCAAATCTATTTATGTATCTGGCCTCTGTGAACATGTGTGGTTGAGGATAGCCGCCTCAGCACTCCACAGAAGTACCCGCAGCACCACGCAGGGGGCCCGAGCGTGCGCAGTCATTACTGTCGTGTTATGGGGCAGGTGGGTGATACAGAATACCTTTTGCAATTTAAAAAGTGAAAGATTCTGCACAGGTAAGAAAATAGAAAGTAGGTTTTCGTAACTGAACAGATTTGTGTTTTATTTTGTATTTATGAACTATCCACAATGCATTAGAGATTAATGAATATTTCATCAGATATTTTTAAAGTCGTATTGTTCGTTTTCCCTACTTTTCCATTAGCTTCTGGCCATAGAAGTATAATCTCAGCATTCATTTACTCTACAGGGGCTAATTATCACCTCATTTTTCTCCAGTCTCTATTATATTATTTTTCGCACCTTCTTGCCTACTTGAGAAGCAAGATTTAAAGTCTTGCTTGCGCTTAAATGGCCACTAACTTTTTATTCTAAGATAGAGGCACTTCTAAAGAGCTTGAAATTTGCCTTTAGCCCAACAAATGTTTATCCCTCAACACACACACAAAAGAAGAAGAATTCCATTACCCGGCTGAAGCTCACTCCTTACATCTTTAGTGTACTGGACGAAACTTGCAGCTGATGGCAAAGAGAAAAATCCATTAGCAACTGGTCTGCATGGCAGCTTGTTCAAGTCAGTGAGGTCTATCGCCCTAATGCTGTGGAAGACCGCAGAGTATCCGTTCCTATAGCTGTGTCCTGCAGGCTCAATTTCAAACTTGACTTACCTAGAACAGGTTTTTTTTTTCTTGCCTTTGAATTTTTTTAATTGATTTTTATTGAGCTCTACATTTTTTTCTGCTCCCCTCCCTGCCTCTCCCCTTCCCCCTTCAATCTTCGCCCAAGGTCCCCATGATCCCAGTTTTCTCAGGAGATCTTGTCTTTTTCTACTTCCCATGTAGATTAGATCTAGGTAAGTCTCTCTTAGTGTCCTCATTGTTGTCTAATAGAACAGGTATTTTTGCAATGTTTCTGCTATAGTCAAATACTGCAAAATCTAAATGCTTCAACTTAAAAGACACAGCTCTTCACAGGAAACAATGGGATCTCAACTCACCAAGCAAAGTCCTCTCGCTGTTGACAGAGCAGCTGACAGCTTGCATGTCCCTCTCAAAGGTGTACAGGTGCTATTAAAACAGCCGGAAAGGGAGGTCACAGTGAATAACAATTGTATGAAGGCAAACTCCTATTAAACTTTGTACTAAACATTACTTAGCAAACACTCCCTAAAGCACAGAGTGAACTAATCTGTGCTGACATGGTCTGGATTATTTCTCAAGGAAAATGTGTTTAATATTTTGTGCCACATCGGGCCCTGAAACTTAGCTATGGGACAACCAGCGTGGTTCAGAAGACAAACTTTGAAACTAAGCTAGACCCACGGTCAAATCCTGACTGCTGTTTTCTCGCTGCGTGACTTTGGGAAAATTATTCAACTTACCTAACCATCATAATTAGCATAGGACTATAATATGTATCTCGTGTTATTATGAGGACTGAGGAATACTGGAGTGGTATGGCCAAAGTAAGTAAAAAACATCTCATAGGGGTAGAGGATCAAGAGGCTCAGTGCAGCTTATGCCGTCCAAGGGGCACCCAGACGTTAGCATGGGAGATGAGAAAGGCTTCAATCCAATGACACACTCAACTCTCATACCGTGGAATGTGTCACAAGTGTATTTCATATTAAAGGAGTGGATAACAAATCTTCTGTGGTTACTTAATCTTTCCTTTTTATGAATGTTTGTATTGTTCAAAATATCAAGAGAAGCCGGTCATGGTACACACACCAGTAACCCCAACCCTCCAGAGGCTGAGGCAGAGGGGTACAAGTTGGAAGCATCCCAGGCTATATGGTGGGACCCTGTCTGAAGCAACAGTGGGGGGAATCAAAAGATTCCACTTTATCAATGCTCGGGAAAATGAAAACAGTCACACAGATGAAAGACGTGATGTGTAAGCTAAGGACTGAGGACACACTCTGGCTGTGTCACCACATCTCCATGGGAGACAGTCACTAAAGGGGAGCATTGAGTTAATATGAGGGCACTAAGTTTGGGGCTCCAGAGACGGCTCAGTTGTATTGCTACTCGTGCAGAGAATCCAAGTTCAGTTCCCAGGACCCACGTCAGGCAGCTCATAACTGCATGTGCATCTGACGCCTCCCCCCACAGCTGACGCCTCCCCCCACATCTGACGCCTCCCCCACATCTGACGCCTCCCCCACATCTGATGCCTCCCCCACATCTGATGCCTCCCCCCACATCTGACGCCTCCCCCCACATCTGACGTCTCCTGTGTGTGTGTGAATGTGTGTATGTATGTATGTATGTGTATGTCTGTACATATGTGTGTATGTGTGTTGTGTGTGCGTGTGTGTATGTGTGTGTGTGATAAGCATGTATAATGCAGACACACACGTACCTATGCGTGTGCTGTGAATGGCAGGGGTCAGGGTCCAGTGTCTCCTCTATCACGCTCCACCATTTTGGATAGACGGTCAGGCCCACGGGTCCCTAGATCCTGCCTGTCACCCTCCCAGTACTGGGGTTGCAGATCACACACTGTGTTGTTTTTCAGGGGGTGCTGGGTTGTGGACTTGTGTTTGTCCTGCAAGCCCTTTACCCTGTAAGCCATGTTCGCCTTTTACTACAGCCCAGCTTAATAGACTGCTTCATGCCTTGGCAGCTGCATTTAGTCCCAAATAACCTATTCATGGGCATTAATTTCATTTAGCTGCTACTTTTAGATACTAAAATGATGCAATTAACATTCATTTGTATTATTTTCTAGTGCTGGGGCGCAAACCTGGGAACTTGTACAAGTTGGGAAAGTATTTTACTACTGAGATACATTCTTAAACCTCAAATATATCTTTGTGAGCCTATGCAAGAATTTATGGGATACAAGGAATAGAAGTATGGGATTCTTCATTATAAACATAAAAAATATACACCAAACTAGTTTATGCAGAAAAGCAATTACACAGTGGCTCAAGGAACAGGATAATGTGAAGTCAGTCTGGGCTTTAGCTATGGTTTAATCCAGAAATAGAAATAACCATTCTTTTAACCCTCTGGCTTTAACACATCTTCAGCCTCTACATAACAAAACTCCAAGTTCTGGTCTCCAAAAGCCTGGCGGTTCCAATCTTACAGTCCATGTGAGCAGAATCAGAGAAGAACAGTCTCAGTCCCCAGAAAAGTCTGCTAGGTACTTGTATACCACCAGCGCAAGTCTTATTTCTTCCTGCTCACTCTGAGGGTAGACCAGCAGGGCTGGGAGTGAGGAAGAGAGGTCAGAGAGGGGCAGGGAGGAAGGGAACTTGTCCCCTTATGTCTAAGCAGTGTGCTGCTTCCTGTTTGGCCATGTAAGGAGGGTCATTCATCTAAAACTGCAGAGGAAGACCAAAAAAGACTCCCTTCTCCCCAGTCTCCTCACTCAGTAAAGCTGAAAACCCTGAACGTTGTCTACAAAATGAAGCTAAGAGGCCTGGGAAGTTGAGTAAAGAAAACAGGTTAGATAACGTGTTTCTCCCGTAAGCACAAAGCTTTGGGTTCGGTCTACAGCGTCCTGGGGGTGGGGAAACACAGACTCTGGGGACTCCAAGTTCTGAGAAACGAGGCAGCGGTAGCTTTTTTTTTTTGCATACCATATTCTAGACTTGAAGCTAAAAAAGAGATTATAGCAGAAAGGAAGCCAGAAATAGACAGAAACACACACACACCCCCTCCATCGCCCAAGGCAAAGAAACAGAAAGCCTGCAAGACAGAGTCTGTTAGATGCTGCCCAGACTACTCTAGCCAACAGTCTGAGGAAAGGCGACCCCACTTGTCCCGTTACCCACAAGGCTGAGCAGGGAGACTGGGATCCCACTCCATCCAAATGCCCCAGGCACTGTCCACTCCTGCCAGATGGGATCAGAAAAGATCAGGTAGAAATCACGACGTTCCTCGCACCTGGTAGAAATCTACCTCCCCCTCGCAGCGCACAGAAAGCCATGTAGGATGGTGGGCATCTACCCGGACCCAGCTCTGAGGAGTCCCAGCTCTTCCTCAGTGGAGCACCGGCAGAAGGGCTGGACGCGAAGTTAGGACTCGTACCTCACGTCTCCCAGAACCCACCCTGGTTCCTGACCCTGAGGGGGTGAAGCCTAGCAGGCAGCTGAAAAGCCCATTTCCACCTAGCACCAACAGCGGACCCTCTCAGCTGGGTACCATCAAAGGAAGCCAAGTGGAAGAGTTCCAGTCTTCGCTCCTACCACGGCGGGAGTGGGATGGTGCCCTACAGTCCACAAGTTCTCTATCAGAGGAGACACTGGAACAGAAATCTAAATAAGACCTAGCGTCTCTTGGGAGCTATGAAAACCATGAGTCATGCCAGGAACTGGGAGAACTTCAGCTCGAGTGAGAAAAACAGACGTTGGGCACTAGGGTGGCAAATACTAGACGCTGTGGCAAAGATTTCAAAACACACACACACACACACACACACAAACAAGACAAAAGGCCTCGACTAAGAAGTTTAAAATGTGATTGAATAAAAACAGTAGAAATCCTAACAAGGACACAGATAAAGAAAAATGCATAGAAATTTTACTCTTGAAAATTACAGTAATCAGCTTTTAAAATCTTAAATGATAGCAACATACTAAAAAAAAATCCAGGAACTTGAAGGAAAAAAAAAAAACCTAATCTGAACAGCACAAAGTAAATTACCTGGGACCAAGGGAAAGAAGTGATACCTCATAGACCCCTGACTACCACAAAGATCTGATTAACTAATTTTAACTAATTAAAATCCAGGAAAGGAAAAAAGTGAAACTTTTTAAAGTGTTTGAAGACATAGTGATTGATGGGCAAATTGCTCCAAATTGAGCATAAGATTCGATAAACTGAATGGAAACCCAAACAATGGAGGACGGAGAGCCGACCATGAGGTCATACGAGCAGGAGAGTTGCCCCTGCCCCTCACCAGCAGCAGCCCAGCACTCGGGAGGGGCCCGCCACCTCGGCCAGACAGCACAGTAGCGATGGCGCTGGTGGTCCAGGTGTGAGAGAGCCAGTGATGAGGGCGTGAAGGAAGGAGAGCCCGCCCCGCCCCTGCTCATTGCTCCAGGGGTAAACTAGCAAGGGCAATGCTCGAGGGCTCACCCTGGCGGTGAGGGCAGGGAGAGCTGGCGGGCTGACCAACCCAGCAGCTGCCCAGGCTCAGACCAGGGCTAGGAGCTGACCCACCCCAACATCCGCCCCATCTGTGATCTGGAGAACGTGTGAAGGGGCCAGACCTGCAGACCCAAAGCTGCAGGGTCTCCATGACGACGCAGGGCAACAGCAGGATATCCTAGGGTGTCCCCGTGAGGGTCCAGCATCGATAGTGTAGCAGAAGCCAGAGGCCTCCGGCCAGACCAATGACGATGCCAATGGCAGTGAACACTTGCAAGGAAAAACGAATGGACTAAAGGGTGTACCATGTTACACTACAGCTTCCGGGACAAGATTTTTCCCTTTTTTCTATTTTTTTCTCTTAAATTTTATTTTATTTTATTTGTGGGGGAGGTTGCAAGGGCAGATATGAAGGGACAAGAAATGAATGGGATGGAGATGCCTGATGTGAAAGATACAGAGAATAAATAAAAAGGAAGTTTTATAATAATAATAATCTATAAATAAAAAGAAAGAAAGAAAGAAAAGAGAAAGAAAGAAAGAAAGAGAAAAGAAAAGAAAACCCAAAAACCCAAACAAATCCATAGGGACACACTCAAGTAAATTTTCATAAAATAAAGGGCAAAGGAGAAAAAAAAACATTTTCAAAAGTGATTGGGGAAAATGACACCTTAAATACAGAAAGAAAATGTATTAAAAGATGGGTTTTCCACAAAAGGCCATGAAGAGAGGGGGGAGGACATTTTTTTCAGGAACCAAAAGATGATAGCTGTCAGCTTGAATTCTAGACTTGACAAAACCATCCTTCAAAATGAATAAATGAGAGGAAACACTCAGGTGAAGAAAACTGAGAATATGTGACCTGCCCACAACCCTGAGTTACTGTGACTGAAGCAAATTCCTAAAAGATCAAGAAAATGTTTTTTTTTTTAAAGAAAAAAAGATGAAACAATGAAAAGAATGGAAATATGGGTAGGAAGCAGTGGATTTTCCTTAGTTCATTTTGTCTAAATTATACTTAACAACAAAGGCAAAATATGTGTCATCAAATTCGGATCTTGAAAAACACCACCGAGTTAAGGCTGCAACTTGGTGGTGCCGTGCTTGCCTGACATGGACGGTGGCTGTGGGTTCAACCCCAAGGACCACAGAACAAGTGTGTAAGTAGAAGTCTTGTCTCTATGGAAGGGGGCGGCAGGAGAGATGGTGCTACAGGTAAACGTGCTCAGAGCCCCTGCAGAAGACTCCGGTTCCGGGGATCCAACGCCCTCTTCCCGCCTCCATGGGCTCTGCACGCACATGCCGCACATGCTCACACAGACACTCACAAAGTAGATAAATACACAAATAAGTCTTTGTAAAGAGGGACAACATGTGGGCAGCAACTGTAAATTCAGGAAAGTGAATGACTTCAGAAGTAAAGGGCCCTGAGTTTCCTGGAAACTGGCAAACAGCCGCCAGCAGCTCTCCGGACGCCTGCACTGAGCTCGCTAACCGCAGTAGCGGCGACAGAATCGCGCTCTGTGATGAACCGTGACACCCACATCCTACCAGAGTCACCTTCCTGGTTCTCCTGTCACGCTCTAGTTACACAAGATGTAAGAACCGGAGAAAACTGGGTCAAGGGTGCTTGGGACTTGGCAGTTTTGCCTGTTTAAAAACAAAACCACGTAGGAAGGTGGGGGATCGTTAGGTTTGTGCGGCCTTGAACCCCGCCTGGAAACAAAGCATTGTCTTTCTCTTGGTGGCACAGTCCCAAAACAAAAATACAGAACTTGAAAGAAAATGTCAAGTCCAGGTGACTTGATATGCAAACCCATTTCCTCAACCAAAGAGCCAGGGGGAGCAATGTGGGTTGTAAGGTGTTCTGAACATTTGGGAAACACAGAAGGGAGAGGGGGATTAGTGACTTCTGTGGTTTGACTGTGTCTCCCAAGTCCATAGGCTGGAAAGAGAATCCCCAGTTCAGCGGTGTCGGAGGCAGAGGCCCAGGGAAGGGTGGTTAGGTCACAGGCTCTTCCCTCCTAATGGACTATGGCTTTATCAGCCCTGGTTAGTTACTAAGAGTATTAGCATAAAGGTGAATCAAGACCCCTCTTGCTTGCGGGTCCTCACCCTTCTACCATGTACCATGGCAGAGAAAGCCCTTACCAGATGTAGCACCCTAGACCTTGAACTTCCCAACATCTGGAACCTGTAAGAACTAAACATCTGTTCTTCACAAATCACCAAACTTTCCTGGGCAGTGGTGGTGGCGCACGCCTTTAAACCCAGCACTCGGGAGGCAGAGGCAGGAAGGTCTCTGTGAGTTCCAGGACAGCCAGGGCTACACAGAAATCCTGTCTTTAAAAACAAGAGAGAGACAGAGAGGGACGGAGAGAGAGAGAGAGAGAGAGAGAGAGAGAGAGAGAGAGAGAGAGAGAGAGAGAGAGAGAAGATCTCAGACTCTCCAGTATAGCAGGCTGTAGCAGCAGCAACTTTGTGTAAAGAAAGACGTGCCTATCACCATAAAGCTGGTTAAGATTCCTGCTAATTTATGCCTTAGCCAATTTATTTCCTGAGTGATCTGCATATCTGAAAAACCAAAGAAGCAGTAAGCTTAAAGGCCCAGGGGAGATGCACATACCCATAGAAGGCAGTTGCACCCCGCACCCAAGTCAGACTAAAATCTCATATAATGCTGCTCCAAGACACATCTTCTCACAATCTGGGCCATCTAGAAGCCCAGGGAAGGACTGTCCCAGCACCCAGAGTTTTGTTTGCTTCTTCCCCAGACTGTATCTCTTTTTTCTTTTCTTTTTTTTTTTTTTTTTTTTTTTTTTTTTTTTTTTTTTTTTTTGGTTTTTTTTTTGGTTTTTCGAGACAGGGTTTCTCTGTGGTTTTGGAGCCTGTCCTGGAACTAGCTCTGTAGACCAGACTGGCCTCGAACTCACAGAGATCTGCCTGTCTCTGCCTCCCAAGTGCTGGGATTAAAGGGGTGTGCCACCACCGCCTGGCTCCCAGACTGTATCTCAACAGGATTTGCCTTGCTCATCCCTGGGACTCTGATGCTCGCAAGGGGAACACTGACTGCGTAGTTATTGGATCAGAGAATAAACAGAAACGAGCGGCTGTGCAAGGAATGGGGGTGGGGTGTGATGGGAGAGAGAATGACCACTCTCCGCACTGAAGCCGAAAGAGAGAGGTACCTGTGGGAAACTTAGAACGCAAAAAGGATCTTTAAGTTCATGGCCAATAAGACACGATTCTCAAATGTTTCTACCCAAGCACAAACTGCCCTGCCACCCTAAGGTCCCAGTTAGGTTAACCTTGTCCACACTGACCAGGAACTAGCAGGGATAGGTTTGAATAAAACTAAGGAACCAGCTCCAAACCTGGGCTGTTACTAAAAAGGAACAGAAACAATGTCACGAAAGTCAGCCAGAATCAGAACTCAGAGCCAAGGGCTGCTATGAAAATGACCTCGGAGTATACACGGGTCTTGCAGAAGGCAATGGACTTCCAGCTTTTAGTTTTTTCTCCATAATATTGTAAAATTAATCTAAGCCAACTTTAGCCGAACTTCAAAGAACTAAGACTATGTGTGTCATTTTGGTTCAGGGGTCATTAGACTGTTTTTTTTTTTTTTTTTTTTTTTTTTTTTTGACAACAAGGATTTAAACAAACTAAAGAAATAGGAGAGAGGGGAAATAAAAATATTTAAGCTTCTGGAAAAAAAAACTGAGCTTTATATCTAGAAAACAGAGGAGGCAAAAGAAAACAGTCAGCTAAGAAATCTATAATTACCTCATTCTGTCTGGTTTGGCAGTCATATAATCCAAAGACAGCATTCCCCTTAATATCCTGAAAATCAATCAGATGTTTGTTAGTGCCATTGTTTGGGAAATGAGGTTGTCACGCTAAAGGAAGCCTGCTGTATACATCTAGAAGACCAGGCCTAACTCAGCTAGGCCCTGGAACTTGGAGCAGGAAAGGGTCACCACTAACAGTTTAGAGACTCTGGGGACTGCCTTAGCATGAACCTCCAGCCGTGTTCTTAAGAGAGTAAATATTACAAAACAGATAACAGTATTGAACAAAATCCATAATATAAGAATATTATCAGTAAGTAAAATTGAATCTTTAAATGCATTATCCATAAATACAACTTACAAATTTTCTTATATTTTTGGTTGTGAGCCTAGCTTTTAATGGCTGAGCCCTCTCTCCAGTCCACAATATACAAATTTTCTTTTATCAACAGGAAACAAATTACGGCGGAACACATGTCTAGAACTATCTGTTGGAATTACTCCTTCGTGTGTCCCTATTAGCAGAGTTGTCGGTAAAATTAAAACTTCCTTAGAGCATCCAACATCTGACAACATTGTTAAGTATCTACAATGTCAACTATGGTTATATTCCCATCTGATGACAGAGTAACCATAGTTAACATTTTCTCAAAGACAAAACTTTAACATACTAGTCAGGTTTAAATGTCTTGGCCCTTTCTTCCCTAGAGAAAATGAAATTACCCATCCATTCTTTTTTTTTTTTTTTTTGAATTTCAGATATGTAGTTTCACCTGATTTTTTTTTAAGAAAAAAATCTCATAAGATGGACCACCACCATCTCTTCAATATCACCTTCACAGAAGCCAAGGATGTCAAAGGTTAAGAACCAGCAAGTCTTTGCTGCCCTTCAATAAAGTGGAGTATGGTTTCTATAAAAAGTTAGTCTTAGCACTGGGGAAGCAGAGACAGGCAGATATCTGTGAGTTTGAGAAAAGCCTGGTCTACGTGGTGAATTCTAGGCTAGCTGTTGCTATATAGTGAGATTTTGTCTCAAAAAAAAAATCCGTGAAAGGATAATCTAAATGATGAAAACAATAAGCTGTGTGCTGTATTTATTCACTGCAATAAGAAGACAGCATGGACTCACCTTATAGGTATAAAGAATGTTTCCATCTCTTTCGATGTTTAGCACACGCAAGCTCTCATAAGCTGTTTCTAGAACACCTGGAATAGAAAATGACAAGCTAATGTTCAGGAAATGGCTTTAACATATCCAGCAAATAGAGTATTCATGAGAGAAATCAAGTTCTAAGCTAAAAGCTGGTGACCCCGTTATAGAGACTGTACAAGCAGGCACACTTAACCTATCATGTTAGAAGTCAAAACACTCATGACCTTTAAGGGGCAGGGAAAGACTAGCGGGGGAGGGTACACTCTGAGCGCACGGGCAAGCTCGTGGAGACATTCACTGGGCTGTGTCCTCTTCACCTGTCCACTAAATACTCCTCTGTACCCTGTGTCTCAATGATTTCCATTGTATGCTAGCTTTTCTTACGCATTCCGAGACTGTGCCATTAGTGGCACACCAACTTAGAATTACTCTCCGCTGGCATTTGGCAAAGTGCCAGCCAAACCAGTGTACAGACCTGCATTCAGATCCCCAGCGCCCATGTAAAAAGCCAGGCTTGGCAACATACATGTGCAGCTCGCCTGCTGGAGGAGTAGATTCAGCTTGTTATACCTGCTGGCCCAACCAGGGAGTGCCAGGTTCCATGAGAGTGTGTCTCGAGAAAGATGGAGTCTGATAGAGGAGGACCAAACTACACCATCTGCTAGCCTCTACCCGCTCACGTGAGCACACACACACACACACACACACACACACACACACTGCACTCATGTACACACACGTAAACAGGCAAACCTTCCCTCGCTTACTATGATGTCATAAGTACAGACAAGCTAACCCAGAAGTACAGACATCCCTGTTCGTCTTCCCCGCAGGATGCTGCCTTTGGTTGGCTCCTTACTAAGAGTCAGAAAAAGGTTTTTTCTCTTGCTATCAAGAACCACCCGACCCCCACCCCCACCCCCAAACCCAGAAAGGTTCCTGTGTTTATTACCCAGGAGGAGACCAGGAGGAGGGAGGAGGAGGAAGGAGTGGGAAAGTTCTGTTCGGAGCTGAGATCTTCTCATCCCTTTGCCGTAGAGGCTTTGGAGAGAGGTCTCTGCGGTAGCCTACCTAGGACACCTGCGCCCGATGGCCATTCCCCCAGTGGGTCACAGCTAGGAGAGGAGAGTTTCCTGTGAGCCCTTCCGTGTACAACTTTGTGACTATGCACGTCCCAGTGTGGAAAAGCACACCTCAGGCTTTTAGCAGGAGTTAGACTTTATTCATTGAAAAACGTCTCCTTTGGTGTTTATACAGTGACATGGACGGTCTGGCTACGGCTCGTGTGGTACAACTTTCTCTCTCCTCTCCTGTGTCTCTCCGGGGACTCGTGCTCACGGTGTGAGACAGGCAGTCCTCCCTCGGCATCCTCCCCAGCCAGCACTCAGTCTTTTCATCCCATTGGTCCACTGTCATTTAGAGCGGTTGTGTCAGGTCACACCTAGAATACTCTTTGCCCTCTGTGATGCGCCCTTAATCCCAGCACTCAGGAGGCAGAGGCAGGCAGACTCTTTGAGTTTCAGGCCGGTCAGGTCTACACAGAGAGACCCTGATTCATAAAAAAATGAGCAAACCACAAAACCCCCCATAACCGCTGAAAACCACCTGCATTACTTGGCTGATGTGTTTCTGAAACTGATTAAACCAGTCTCTGAAACTAGCAACTGCCTCGGAGCACAGAGGACCTATGTGAAGCTGGTGCATTCTTTTCCGCTCTGAGGGTGTCAGTCTAGGGAAACTGATGGAACTCTGTGTCCTTATGACTTGGGTACTTTCCAATAAAAAAATCTTCTAGAGCAGGACATAAAGGACCTTTATACAAAACATTTAATTTAAAATCTAACTGTCCATCTTCATCTACAATTTTTAGGGCAGCCTTGATTCTCCAGGTAAAGAGCTCAAATAAGCAGTGGTCTGTACAGCATTCTTGAGTATCATGAACTGAGGAGAAACTGATATTTTTAACTTCCTCAAAAGTTCATCATAATCAAATGACTTAAACTGAGTTGCTCATACACAAAGCTATATCCAGACATTAAAATAGTAATGCATTGGCTATAGAAAATTCAAATGTTTAGATGAAGCATGCAAAACATCCTACAGCGCATTCTGTTTGTATTTTTAACAAAAGAAAAGCAGAATAAAGGCAAGGGTAGCGGAAGAGAGGACACCAGAGCTGGAGCTGGTGGGGAGCCTTCACCCTCACCCTGAAGCCTCTCTTCCTCCTGTCACGAAACACGGTGCGGGAGTTCTGTGTGAGGACACACACGTGGTCTGTCACGAGACACGGTGTATGAGAGTTCTGTGTGAGGACACACGTGGTCTGTCACGAGACACGGTGTGCGGGAGTTCTGTGTGAGGACACACGTGGTCTGTCACGAGACATGGTGTGTGAGAGTTCTGTGTGAGGAGGACACATGTGGTCTGTCACGAGACACAGTGTGTGAGAGTTCTGTGTGAGGACACACGTGGTCTGTCACGAGACACGGTGTATGAGAGTTCTGTGTGAGGACACACGTGGTCTGTCACGAGACACAGAGTGTGAGAGTTCTGTGTGATTATATATATATAGATAGATAGATAGATATATCTTTCTGTTGAGCTGCCAGAACCACTTCACACTGATTTTGAAATACACAGATGTCGTTTGCTCCTGCATCACAACAAGATCCAGTCAGCTGACTGCTAAGTCCACCTCAGTGCTCTCATTCCCACCTCACGCACACTGTGGCCCAGGGGTCACAGGCCCATTGTACCTAAAGGACAACTGAGTTCAGCAAGGTGAGGCCCCCAAGCCAACACCACACAGTGGAGAAACAGCACAGGGTCACCTCACAGCACCAAAGAGAACAGTGAGCTGGTGCCCTGCGTCAGGCGTGACCGGAAGATGAATGATCACCCTCTCGGGGACCCTAGCAGCTGGAAAGCTGCGATGACGCAAAGCTTTCTAGAGTGCAGTGTGTCAATATTTTGAGATTTTTTTTCATTCAAGAGTGTAAGGACACTGGTCCAGCCCTTCACAAAAGTGAACATAAAAGGTTTCAGTTGAGATAAGAAATTCCTTTACAAGAAGTCTTGAAAAAATTCCTGGCAAAACATCTATTTTTAAATCACTAAAAAATTCTCCACCAAATACAGATTCTAATTATCATATTATCATGTATGTGTGAGCGCTTGAATACACATATACACATAGGAATACATAACACATACCATGTCCCTCAGCTCTGCCTGTGTTAGAAACATGATGTGTATGTGTGTGTGTGTATACATTTACGCACATGAATCCATAACACATACCATGGCGCTCAGCTCTGCCTGTGTTAGAAACATGAGGGGAGCCTTTTCAGAAATACTGATGCTCCACTCATGAACCAAGACATTCTTGTCTTACAAAAATACAGATTACATTTCATTTGTTTATTTGGTATGTGAGAAAGGGGGAGGGGAGAACAGAGAGGGAGGGAGTGAGAGCAAGGGCACAGGACACACGTGGCAGAGGTCACAGGACACACATGGCAGAGGTCACGGGACACACGTGGCAGAGGTCAGTGTGTAGGAGCTGGACTCTCTCCTTGCACACTGAGGGGCATTAGGCTGGGAGCAAGCGCCTTTACCTCCCGGGCCATCTCAGCCGGTCAGGGTACGTGATTTGTGAGAGACCAGTGTGGGAACCCTTGCTTGCGCCTGTCAAGTTCCCCTAGGTATTTTTCATTGCACAACATTTATGAGTTACCAGAGTCAGAACTTGGTCCAGAATATGGTGCAACCACAGCACACAGGACAGAAAGAAATCAAGATGTCTTCGTGGGTATGTTAGTTAGGGCTAACTCTAGCTGGCCTCGTGGCTCTCATTTCAAGGGGGTATGAAATGGGTGCATTTGGCCACGCTGGAGATTTGGAATGACGTCTCATCACACACTCAGCCGATTTGCCTTTCCTCTCAAGGTTGGTTGCCCCTGCGTTCACACCCTCCTCTGAGTATTCAGCAGCGTCTTTGCCTACATATTCATTCTGACTCTTCCCCCAGTGGAGGTTCTCTGGAAAGTCCAGAGGAGGAAGCTTAGCAATTTCAAATGAGGAAATGTGATTTAATTTTACAGTTCAGTATACTCTGGGATCACAGTAACGCATTTCGATAAGGAAGTTACTGGCGTAAGTGAACCTGCTACAGCAGGTCTCGAACACACCAAGCATTGTGATGTCTGAGGTGAGGAGAAACAGACGCGGGCTTCCCGAACAATCTCGTTCGTTTCAATCCATTCTTTCCAAGGCAGAGTGATTCGCATCACCAGAGGATGTTGGCCAAGTGTATGAATTTCAGTGCCATGAAACAAAAATTGAAATAATTCTGTCTTCCCAGTGACAGTTCTTAGAGAGGGGAGTCATACAGTCTTATCCCCCCACCCGAGAAAGTGAGCCTGCTCCCAACATGCAGGTCGCAAGGTGGTGAAACAGGACTGTTCTTAGTCTGCACACAACCCACCCAGGCCCTAGGCTCAGCATGACCGGGTTTTATAATCCCAAATCAGGAACACTGTGGTGTGCCGTATGTCACACTCCGAATAGAAAGAGAAGGAGCAAGCCTTGGGTGATTGTCAGGAATCAATAAAAAGAGAACCGAGAGTCAGAAAAGGAGACCAGGGACGCAGGAAGGAACCGTGACCAGGAAGGACAGGGGCAAGAGAAGACTAAACAGCAAACAACGTGACGAAGGCCACCCTCCCATCCCCAGGTCACTCCGCGGGATCACAAACAAGAGGGAATAAAGAAAAACTGGCTTTCGAGTCTGTTGCCTGACATGACCCAGGCAAAGAGTATAGAGTTAAAATCAATCTGGAGTGTCAACCATTCAAGCCTAATCAAAGCAGGGAGAAGCCTAGGAAAGGTTACCCAGGTTCTGTCAAGAATTACACAGAGGGTCCCGGACAACATTTCAACTCGCACTTCTCCACAGTGGTGCCGAATTATTTAGTCAAGGCACCAGCTGGACCAGCAAACTCAGGGACCTCCCCAGAGAAAGGCTAAACCAAGCTGCATTCCTGTGAAACACGTCTCCCAAGAAATGCTCGGCCCTGTGGGGTTACCCCATAGGAGACAGAAGGAAGACAGTCCCACGAGGAAAAGCCCAGCTTCCAGGCAGACCAGGTCGCTTCCGAGGAGCCTGAAGCTGGGGCTGGGAGGGTGTGGAGCTCCAGAAGCCCCCAACTGCCAGAGTCGTCTCCTGCTGAGTCAAACACAGTCCCGCTTTTATACCCTACCACGATGCCTCCTCGCAGGATGCAAGCACCTGGAGAAGCTAGCTGGGGACAATCCCTGAAGGAACTGACCATGCTCATAGTACCAAGGGAAGGCTCTTCTTCAAAAGGCCAGGCCACGCCATAAAATACTGTACCTGGTAAAAAAAAAAATAAAATAAAGATTTCTGTGTAGCCAGTCAGCATGAAAAAATCCTAAAATACCGAGAAGAGATTAAAGTAAAAAGAAAGCCTAGTGTGCTTCTCATTTACTTGAAATTCAGATACAAACTGTCTTAAAGCTATTAATATGAAATTGTTAAAATATAAATATTTGGATGGTCACCTCTGGGGACTGGGATGAAGACTCTCATGGGGGCGCAAGTACCCCAGCTGCCAATGGCCCTGCATTTATTCACTCTGTAGTTGGATTGTAGGCACATGGGCTTTTTTTAAAAATCACTATTTAGAGGTGACATATGTTAAACTATTTTATATAACTAATTTGGTTTTTGTGAATATTTTCTCATTTTGTTTCAGGAGAGACCATACTCCCAAAGTTCAACACCAAACCAAGAGTAGACACAGTAATCAAACCTGGCTTCCTCTCCTTCAAGTCCCTGTTGACCGCATTTCTCTCCTACAGCCACCAAAGTTACCTGACTGGCATAGCCAAGCCCACTGACTGTTTTGGCAAGAATATGTCATGTTTCATGAGGATCACTTAGTGTAACTAAAAAGTTTTCAGTTTGTTGATGTAAAAATATTCACAGAGCCATTGAGATGCTCAGTTCCAAGCCCAGGCCTCACAAGGCGGAAGAGAACCCCCTTCTGAAAGTCATCCTCCAATGTCCACATGTACGCTGTGACATGCACACACACATGTATGCTGTAACGACATGCACACACACGTACTGGAGCACGCATGTGCACACACACATGCACACACACAATAAACAACAAAGATGGATGTACCTTGGAGGATATTAAGACTTCGGATTTTAAAAGTTCAAGTATGCAGAAAGCAGACACATGGTCATTGGCCGTGTGACTCCTAGTGAAGTTTTTAAAGCTGGCGCTTCAAAAAATAACTTGCATGTACATGCTTGGTAAAGGATACACTATAAATAAAGTCTAATGTCAGATTTTCCTGTGAGGGTTGAGGTGTGCATGCGTGCGTGCATATGTGTGTGCATGCGTGCGTGCATATGTGTGTGCATGTGTGTGTGCATACATGTGTGCGTGTGTGAGTGTGTATACATGTGTGTTCATGCGTGTGTGTGAGTGCATGTGCATGTGTGCGCGTATGTGTGTGTGCATGTGCATGTGCGCGCGTGTGTGTGCATGTGCGTGCATGTGTGCATGCATACTGTGCTGTGTGCATGCGTGTGTGTGCATGTGTGCGTACATGTGCGTGTGTGTGCATGTGTGATTTCACACAGGTTTATGTGCCTGTGGAGGACAGAAGTTGAGGGCCGGTATCCTCCTCAGTTGTTGAAGGTATCTCTCGGGAGTTCAGCCAGAGTGGCTGGCCCACATGCCTCAGGATTCCGCTTTCTCTGTCTTAGCAGCCCTGCAAGCATCCATGTGCTCCCCAACTTTCTGCGGATGCTGGGGTTCAAGGTTGGGTCCCCATGCTCGTGCTGCGAGCACCTCAACAGCTGAGCCGCCTCCCGGCCCCTAGGTTTGTTTGTTTGTTTGTTTGTTTGTTTGTTTCAAGCTATCATTCAGTGGTGATTATCAAAAGTAATAAGATGGTGGGAATCAAAGAACATGCTCAAAAAAAAACAACAACAAACAAAAACGGCAAAATACAATGCCTAGATTTTTACTGCAACATCAACACACAGGTTTATAATTCTTCACAGTGAGTGAGAGACGCAAGGAAGCCAAAAGTTAGCACGCGCGCGCGCGCGCGCGCGCGCACACACACACACGACAGAAGCATAAAACTGACATTTTTCACCCAGCTTCTAATGTGCAATCTCCTGCCACTTAGCAAAACCAAGTAGGATCGATTTTTGGGGTGGGAAACAGACTTGGAGTTCCTTGAACTACTTCTAAAAGTTAGACCTTCAAAGACTTCAGCAAAGACAGAGAAGTGGAAGCCACGCAGCCTTCGTAAAGCTATAAAGCTGTTGATTTATGACCAGCAATCAATATGCAAAGACGAGGGGATCACCGATGTTCCTCTGTGCACGGGAGTCGCGTAGACATGACTTCCACAGGAGTTCAGAGGGAAGAAACTGGGGATACGGCTAATTTGGTGCGCCCCCGCCCCAATCCACGACAGCCTAGTTAGTATCTAAGGAAAACCAGAGACAGAAAGAGGCGAGCAAGTACAGCTGTTATACACAAGGTGAGACCCAGAGGTGCCTGTAAGCCCCGAGGATGCTTCCTTATTGATGGCCTTTAAAAACGAAAGGGAAAATTTAGGAGATTACAGATCCTCCTCTTTCGGGCAGATCCATTCTAGGAATGCACAAAAGTCACTTTCCGCCCCCTCCCTCCCCGCCAGAGGAGACTAAGCATCAGGGACTAATTCCAACTGACCGGGAGGCTAGGGTAGGAAGCCGAGCATCCCTGTCTCACAGCGGTGAGGGGTGGGGTGGAACGGGTGCCTGGTGTGTGCTTGGTGGCTCTTGCGCAAGCTGCTGTGCTTTTAGAACCCTGCAGAGACTCAGTTCGCTGCGGGCATCCTGAAAGGGCCCACTGCCCTCTCACACCTGTAGGGACAGGTCCCCTAAGCCACCAGAGTTGTTCCAGGAATACAGACTCTGTTCCACAGATATGCAGCAAATGTGTTTTTTTAAAAGACGGGGTAAAGCCACTGAATTCCACTTCTTACAAGCAGTTTGGCTCAGCATCCTCGCTGGGGACAAGCGAGGTGACTGTTAAGACACTTAAAAGGTCGTTTTCTTGACCACCACACCGGGTCAGCCTACACTTCGAGGCGCTCCTGGTCCTAGGTGAGCCCTGGGGACAGGCGAGGGCGCGCCATCCCTCTGCCTCCCGCCTACCCTTCCCGGTGACGACCCCGGGTACCACTCGTCTCGGCGGGGCATCCCCAGGGGTCCCCGTGGGGACGGCGTCCGCTCCCCATCCCCAGAGCCTGGATGCCTGGCACCTACCCGCCCGCCCCCTCCGAGACGCGCGCCCCGCACCTGCGCCGCCTCCTTCGGCCGCTGCTGCCGCCTGGGCCCGCAAACTCGGGAGCACGTCCGCCCGCACGTCGAAGTGGGTGATCAGCCGCAGAGCCATGGCCCAGCAGCGCCTGCCGGCCGGGCGCACATTCCGGGCCCGGCTCTCACCTCCCGGCCCTGCAGCCGCCACTCTCCTTCCTCCCCCTTCCCCGCAGCAGCTGCTTTCGGTTCTGGGCGGTCCAGCCCGGAGGATCCCAGCACCGCCCCCTTCCAGGCCGCAGCCTCCACCGCCGCCGCCACCGGGGAGTGAGACTGGACGCGGGCACCAGGCCTCTCCCTTCCGTGGTTCTGGCTGGGGAGCTGTCGCCAGGCCCCGACGGGGAGGCTTAGCCCGCGGCTTCCTGGGTCACTGGAGGAGACTCAGGTTACCACGAAAGCGGTTGGCATCTTCGGCCTGTTTTTCCTAGCTGGCTGTGGTGTTTTAGCTGTAGGGTTTAGGCAATAAACAGCAGCAGCGAGCATGTAAACTACATGGTTCTGTGGATTAGGGTTAGCTTGCCTTCTGGCTTCTCTTTGTCTCTGCGTCCTGGCTGGAGGAAGCTGGGTTGCCTAGGAATGGCCTCTGAAGAGATTTGTGAGCACTTTCGTTCTCCCAGGGTTCCTTCCCAACCCAACTTATTCCTCTACGAGTCATAATCTAGCATCTGGCTGGCTCTGCTAAGGAATGAACCGTTAGTAAACTTGGCTCTGCGGCATCTCATTCACCCTGTACATCAACGCCTGGTTATTAATGGTCGTTGCTAAAGCTGAAATAGCCTACAGTGTCTCGTGGTCATGCTTGAGAGGCTGAGGCAGGAGAATAGCTTGGAGCCAGAGAGTGAGACTTGGTGTCAAAAACAAACATCTAACTAGCTTTGTATCTCAAGGCAGAAGGCCAACTACTTACTGTCCTAGGAAGAACTGCCAATGCCGAGTCTTTACCCAACCCCGAGTCCTTTCTACCTCGACCTTGAACTCCCGACTGATCTGGTGCCCAGAATCATTCTGCCTAGCACAATTTCCAGGTCCTCCCAACCTTGCTCAACAGAGTTTCTTCCTCACACTGCAGTCCACAGTGACCTTCCTGATCCTAGAGTGGCGTTACTAACACATTCCATTGCCCCTGAGATAGACTTCTGAGGTTAAAACTCAATTTTGAGCCTTGAGATAGCTCTCCTGCCCCACCAATGGCTGAACAGGGCGCCTGGAAAAACGAATGGTTGTGTTAATAACGCTAAGTTATGCTTTTTTTTCACTTGTGTCTCAAGGTTGGAATTTCACAACTATGGGTACCAGAGATACCCTGTCTTAGACTGCAGGGCATTTTCTGGGTTGAAGCAGGACAAGGCTCATTCATAAGTGTTTTCCACAAACCTTGGAACCCAAGTCTTGCTGTGCTTTGAAAACTACTTGACAAGGGTAGAAGTCTCGATTTTCCTCTAGAGAATGTCTCCCCGGTGGGAGGTAGGGGATGGAGACGTTTGTGCTCACAGCTACTTACACATATCTGTAATTGGCATGAAGATGTAAGAGAAATTGAACGCTGACATTGGCAGTGAATCAAGGGGAAGCCACTGGAGACATGAGGAGCGGCTTTATGGTTTTATAACAAGTGGAGTCTGATAGCTTTGTTATACACACATGGCCTCGCTTGTCCAAAATTTACTGTCTTCATGTTTGCAGGGTCTGTGTTCGTCAGGTCAGAAGGGCTGCTTGTATGTGGAAGATAGCTTATTTCACAGAAATGTCCGATTTAAATGCTCCCCTCCACTATCCTGACCAAGAAAAAAAATTTAAATTAAGATTTTCTTGCTTGTATAAAAACTCCTGAAAATAACTAAGTTTAAGAAAAGTAAAGAGGCTAAGAAATAATCAAGAAACAGAAAGATGTAGCCAAGCACCATAAAACCTCGTGACCACCATGCCTGGATGTTCCTTAATATGCTTCAGAAGCATCCAGGTGGTCCTTAGAATCTGAGGATGAGACAGGATAGGAAACACAAATGTTTTATACTTCAGATTGGTCATCGGTGTGACTGTGGCCCAATGGTTGTCTGGCTCTACCACAGGAAACACATGTCTGGTGCAATAAATCTAACCAAAAATCCACCGATGAGGAGTTCATGGGCCTCAGGAAAAGGGCCTACTACTATTATTTTGCTAAGTGAACATAGTAGCAACCTGCTTTCTAAATTCATGCCTCTGCCCATACTCTCTGGCCTCATCAAAGTCTTTGATGGTGACTAATACAGAAACTCACAGCCCATCAAAGTGCGGAGAATAAGTGTCTGTGGGATGTGCAGCTATAAATGAGACCATGTCCTTTCTCCCCAAGGCTTGAGGACCGTTGAGGAAGAAGAGGTGGAAAGATCGTAGGCACCAGAGGTCAAGAGGACTGGACCAAAGCAGTGCCCTCTGGAGATGCATAACTGCTGTGCTCACGGCAGCTCTGGCTAGCTGCACAGACCTCTAAAAGATCAGCCAGCCTTGAGCATTCCCAGAAGTGAAGCTGGGGGAGGGGGGGCATGGACTCTTGGTAGTTGATGGCTTCTAGAGAAGACACAGTCAGTTTTCTCTGTGGGTGTAGGCCCTGGTAGGTCTAAAAGAACATTTCTTAAATAAACTCATGTGTGTTCAGTTTAAAAAGCCCAAATAAGCTAAAAAAGAAACTTCGCATTTGGGGAATTATGTCTTTGGAAGGATGGTCAAGAATTTTCTTCTTGAAAGTCATAGGAGTCCTTTGAAAACATAGATTCTAAATAGTGCTTGGCAAAGTTACCCTGCACTGACTAGGAAATACCTAAGGTCTGTATCAAAGGCACAACAGTCTTCACAGTGAGGCTTCTTGTGTGGGCATTAAGAATGCTGCATTCTCAATGAAATTTACTTTTTTTTTTTTTTGAGACATTTTCTCTGTGTGTCCTTATCTGTCCTGGAACTCACTGTTGACCAGACTGGCCTGGAACTCACAAAGATCCACCTGTCTCTGCCTCCCAGGTGCCGGGATTAAAGGCGTGTTCCTCTATGCCCAGCTGCAATTTACTACTTCTATAAATAGAAGATCTGTTCAAGAGATGAGTATTTACTGTGGTAGTCACTGCGACTTTCCAGAACGCAGCATTTCCACCAGTCAGGAGGTAACAGCTCCTCTCGCAGGTGATTGAGACAGAGAATGGAACTCAGAGCTGAGTTCCCAAGAAGTTAATAAAAACCAAAATTAACCATAAATCAAACACGGGTTTCATTTCTCACCCATCTGGGGGAGGGTAGTCCAAAGCTCAGAGGGCAGGTTCCTGCAGTCCCCAGGGCCCTAGCTCCTTTTAGTTCTTGTTCCACCGGACTTTGACCACACACTCATCCTCACAGGTCAAGGGGATCATGACGGTTCAACCACCGTGCTTACATTCCGGAAATCAAAAGGAAGATGGAGGTGAAAAGGAAACCTCCCAAAAGTTCTGCAAATTTGTAAACCGTTTTCACTTATATAACATGGTTTCCAGTTTTGTGTTTTTATGGAATTTCTCTGTGTGTGGATGTCTGTGTATGTATGTGTATGGAATTTCTCTGTATGTGGATGTATGTGTATATAAGTATATGGAATTTCTCTGTGTTTGTATGTATGTATGTGTATGGAATTCTCTGTGTGTGGATGTATGTGAATGTATGCATATGGAATTTCTCTGTGTGTGTATTATGCATGTGTATGTATGTGAATGGAATTTCTCTGTGTGTATGTATGTATGCGTATGGAATTTCTCTGTGTGTGTATGTATGTGTATGGAATTTTCTCTCTGTGTATGTATGCATATGGAATTCTCTGTGTGTGGATGTATGTGTATGTATGTGTATGGACTTTCTCTGTGTGTGGATGTATGTGTATGTATGTGTATGGACTTTGTGTGTGGATGTATGTGTATGTATGTGTGTGGACTTTGTGTGTGGATGTATGTGTATGTTTGTGTGTGGAATTCTCTCTGTGTGGATGTATGTGTCTCTGTGCTTTTTCTTTAGCTCCCCCCCATTTGTTTGTTTTGTCCTATTCTAGATTGTTTTTATCTTAATTAATTAATTTCGGGTGCTTGCTTGTCTTCTAATGAAAGAGAGCAAGAGAGTGTGGATTTGAGGGGATAGGGAGGTGGGGAGGATCTGGGAGGAGTTTGGGAAGAGGAAACCATTATTGGAATATACCGTGTGGAAAAAAAATCTAAAAAACAAAAGAGGTGTTCACATTTCATCATTCCCTTTTAAGCGGCTGCTCTGATTAGTATCAAAAATCAATCATTTTCCAGTCTGCTCACTGTGTCGTACACAAGATTTCATCCTCCTCCTTCCCTTTTTTCCCTCCCCTTCTGGGTCTGAATGAGTCTCTCCTAAACCTACCAGGTCTGTGCAGGTGGATTGAGAGCGGGTGTGGGCCAATATTCCGATGCCAGAGTTCAAACAGGATGAAGAGAGAATCTAGGCCAGGGTATTGTTGGGAGCAGTGAAGCCCAGATCCTGAATTTCTTGTAAACAACTTGTTTTCCCCTGATCAGAGTGCCTACAGCTGCTCTGAGCACGAGACCCTCAGGAGTTCCTGATGGCAGGAGAGTGGTTTCTGGTGGGTTTGGCTGGGGCGTGGCTATCTCTATATAAGCTGCCCCTGAACACAGTAAAGGGGGCATTCTTGACGCATTCTGGCATCAAGGATGGCCTGTGTCTCTCTCTGAGTCTGTGTGTGTTTCAATCTCCAGCCCCTTGCCCAGTTCACAAACTGTTGTTGGCGCGTAGAGCGCTGGCAGGCACCGTGGGCCGCGGGGTATGTTCCCCTGCATGAGATGTCATGTCAGAGGCTTTCTGAAGAGGATAAGGAGCGTGAGAGAGAAGGGAGTCCAGGCTGGGAAATGAGATTTCAAGCCACTTAGGGAGAACATCTTAGAGAAGATGTAGCAGCTAACCTGGAAGACTGGCTCTCTTCCTGGGAGTGGATTTGTTGAGTACGTACACTAGGAATGACAGGAAGAGACCAAAGCACAAAAAAATCAATCAATCAATAAATAAATAAATAATCAAAAGAGGGGCTGGAGAGATGGCTCAATGGTTAAGAGCATTGCCTGCTCTTCCAAAGGTCCTGAGTTCAATTCCCAGCAACCACATGGTGGCTCACAACCATCTGTAATGGAGTCTGGTGCCCTCTTCTGGCCTGCAGGCATACATGCAGACAGAATACTTAGAATACTGTACCCATAATAAATAAATAAATCTTAAAGAGAGAGAGAGAGAGAGAGAGAGAGAGAGAGAGAGAGAGACCAAAGCACGATAAAACAGAAAATCAACAGTAAAACCAACCAGAACACCAGACAGCTTGATGAGGAAAAGGATACCTAGCTTCCAAGGCATTTCTTTTATTTATTTATTTATTTATTTATTTATTTATTTATTTATTTATTTAAGATTTCTGTCTCTTCCCCACCGCCGCCTCCCCTTTCCCTCCCCCTCCCCCAATCAAGTCCCCCTTCCTCGTCAGCCCAAAGAGCTGTCAGGGTTCCCTGCCCTGTGGGAAGTCCAAGGACCACCCACCTCTATCCAGGTCTAGTAAGGTGAGCATCCAAACTGCCTAGGCTCCCACAAAACCAATAGGTGCA